AGCTGAACATCCGGAGAAAATGTTAATGAAAGGAAAATTATAAAAAAATTCTTACCAGTAGGACATTTTCAAATTTCAGCGAGCCAAATTTCGCTGATTTGACTGAATTTTTCTTGAATGACTAATTAATATAATGAATTCACTGTGGATGGCACAAGACACGATTAAATTACTAAAATTTAAATTACAAAAAAAAAGCTTTGATAAATAAAGAATCATAAGAATATATAATAATATATAATATATCACAATGCTGCCGTTCTCTGAGAGAAGGCAGTAAGTCCATTGTTCGAAATTTTGAGATATTGGTACCAAAATTTTCAGGAGAAGATTCTCTACAACTTAAGCTAGCTATGAATCACGTTATAAAAATACTGTTTTAGCTGTCACGAAAGGCAGTAAGTCACACAAATCTTGACAATTTAGCACGTTATCCCAAAACCTTCCCTGAGAAAAGGCAGTAAGTCCATTTGTACAGCCTTCTCTGAGGGAACTTTTTCCGTGAGGGAACTTTTTCCCTGAGAAAAGGCAGTAAGTCCAGATTTATTTGCAGTTTTTATAGTTTTTGGCCTATAACTTCCACAGTTTTAGTTATATCGAAATAATTTTTATGTGGTCGTAATCAGCTCAGCAAGCAAAAAAGTTTGGTACTAATAACTCAAAATTTAAAGAAATATTATTTTCAAAATTTTTGAACCTGACATGAACACAATTAAGGGTCCCCCCTTGTGTGAATTATCGAAACATTTTTTGAAAAATTTAGCGCTTTAAATATTTTATGTTAAAATTTTTTTTTCCAGATTAATGCGTTTGTCCGAGCTGAATACGATGCTGTAAAAATTATTCCAAAATATTGGATATTTAAGAAGTTATTATAGGCATTTTGAGCCTATAAATATCCATTTTTCGTCAATATTACACACTTGCAATGCACAGGAGGCCCACATAATTATATTTCAAGGATATGATCAAAAATATAGAAATGTTGTATTTTTTGTGTTGACTTTATCTGAGGAAAAATGGACTTACGGCCTTTCTAGAGAGGAATCGGTTGAAATCGATCCTGATAAAAGGCAGTAAGTCCGCAATTCCCTCAGAAAAGGCAGCAAGTCCAATACAATGCAGATGGGAAAATAGTTCAGTTATTTTGGAGAAAAATGGTTTTTATAGATCAGTGTTGGTGAATTTATGCTTTTAAGCATGTTTAGGACATATGAAAATAATTTATTTACACATAGATGTCAAAATTAACCCCGTTCATACGAATAAAATTACCTAAAAAACGACAAACACGTTTGTCCCATTTTCTCAAAATGACATCGATGTGACTTTCACTTACTGCCTTTTCTCAGGGAACGGCAGAATGCTGGCAAGCATTACTGATTACCGTTGCCAGTATATTCACAATACTATTTACCCCCTATATTGTAGCGCGACACACTACTGGGTCGCGCTGCGCATTTTCTCGTAACCGCAGATCGGCGAGATGCGAAGGATTAACATCGTGAATCAACCCCTTAGCTTATACTATTATATCCCCTTTATTGTTTTCCGGGCTTTAAGACTCATCGAAAGTAGTTCAGCAGCTGCATATTTTACTTTTAGTTCAAAACATTCTAATTCAATGTTAAAGATGACAAGAATAAAAAATAGTTATGTGGAGGTTTTTAAGAAATTTGCGCAAATTAATACGTTGTCATGTAGCTGTTTATAACCTACCAGGACGCGCGCCGAGTTAGACTCGTCGACGGTCCCAATATTGAATATATGGAACAAATATTTTACGAGTATCACCCGTTAAAAATACGCGCCAGCATGTTATACTTATATACGAAATTAGGTAAAAAACCCAAAATCGCTATATTCAGGTCCCTTATAACATATAAATTCAGGCCCGGGGCGCGGGGCTGACCACTGAGAATTGGCCGGGGCCGGGAAATTTTCCATTTTGCCGGGGCCGGGGGTAGTTTACCAAACTGAAGTCAGAAATTGAAACATGAATTTGATAATAATGTAAAAGTAGTACTAGTCCCACATCCAAATATAGCTCGGTTCACAAAAATTTACCATAAACACCCTACGCGCGTGGGGTGGACTCCTGGGGTGGACTTTTAGTAGCCTGTTCAACTTGACGTTTTGATTCGTTACTATCTCAATGTCACAGATACACAGAATGTGAGGTGATCATCTTAAAGAGAAACGTCTCAGCTTTCACCTGGTGTAAAGTTTATCTTTGTACTCAAAATATAGCTCGCTCAGTGTGCAATAGAAGTTGACAATACAATAACCACGTCTGCGACCGGTCGTCAGATACCGGAGTGTTGCACAAAATTGGGTCCCTAAATTAAAATTCTATGACACAGTTACCATGCAGAAATGTCTAGGGAAACATTTGGTGAAAGTTTCAACTCTCTACTATAAAAATAGCGATAGTTATTGAAGATAAACCGTGAGAAACTCCCTCTTGTCGAGATCAACGCTCTAGGAACCTCCCTTCTGTACCACGTGACAACGATTTGAGCGTCACGTGGCCGTCACGTGACAAAAGTGCGCGCATCGGATGGAGCAGTCTCGTGGGAAATCCTGATTGCCTGATCGATCTCGTGGGAAATCCTGATTGCTACGGAAAGGGCTGACAACCACAGTTATTTCCCTTCCTCAATTTTCCAGTTCACTTGCTCAGTGCTGTCAGTTGTTTTTTGTTTGCCCTGCTATATAAACTTCACTCCGTCATAATCCCCTACTCTCCTATCCAATGAACTGTTTCTGTTACAGCTGCCATTCTGTTGACTGGACCCTAACTTAGTCTTATCATTTTCACTTGATAACTTTATCCGTGTGCACTTTCTCGAAACTCAACTTATCTTTGTCAAGACTCAGCTAATCTCAGAACTAAATGTTGCCTTAACAGACTTACTTGTCACTGCACTGGGCCCTCCTTTAAATGCAAATATCATATGAGCAGCTGATCGATTTATTGCTTGAACTGTGCATCCTTTTTAAAAATAAATAAGGTCAATTTTACTATCGTGAAACTTAGTCACTGAAGACAACGCAATCTGGCTGTGCCGGTTCCCCTCTGCCTAGATCACTTAGAATATCCATAGTTAGCAATACTTTTATCGTTTAATGCAGCGATATAGCCAGTTAATAATGCTACATAGTAGATTTTAGCCTGTTCCAATCATCCTTATATCGCGTTAATGGAATTTATGAAATTGCCTACCGTTCAAATCGCTCTCTGTTGTTAGCACCACACTGATTAACTACGATGTTCCAATTTTTTAGAATTATGTCCGACATAATTCTAATTTTTGCTGTTACAGCAGATAGTTATGGTGTAATGGCACGCAGGAATAAGTCATCCCTGTCCTCCAAAAAGCCCATGAAAAGGTATTTGGTAAGCTATGTCTTTTCCAATATCAAATCCAATGTATCACAATCTGTGGACTTTCTACTCAAAAACTAGATTGATTAATTGATAATTCATTGCTGATTGTTCACGCGCCCTGTATGGAAGTATATAAATGGTAATCCGCATACACCAGGAAGAATTGAAGCAATCTCAAAAGAAGGAATCTGGATCCTTCGTCGGATCGTCAAAGAGCTTAGAGGGGAGCTCTACGCTTCACTGGCCATGCAAAGCAGGGAGAGTGACGGAGGCGGAGGCACTGCTGGCTGCTGGAACGGACATTAACAAGCTGGACAGAACGCAGTTTAACCCTTTCATGGACGCGATCAACTCAGGTAAATCATTCGACCGCCTTAACAATATGGGTTTATTGGTAATAGTAGCAAGAGGTTTTAGTCATGCGTTTGATTACAGCACAGTGTGAAACCCTGAAGCATACGTCGAGCTCTAAACTCTGTTTTGTCTAATAATCAATTATTTGAATATTGAAGGATTAAATTTGGTAACTTGATGATCACACAATTAACAGGACAGGTCGACTGTGCTAGATGGCTGCTGAGGCAAGACGGTTTAAAGCTTCAGACCGAGATATGGTCGTTTTGTAGGGAGAGGGTGCTAGAGTCATTGCTAACAGCTTAACAGAAGGTAAAATCCTGAACTTTTGTTCATTGATTAAAAATCACCATTCAGACATACAATCGTTCAGATGTAAAAATTATTTATTCACTATTTTGGATTACATTTAGTTACAGGACTAACATGCGACATCCGTCGTTGACCTTTGTCTTTAATTCAACAAGGTAGGGAGAGCGATCCATGGCTGTCCCGATAGACCCACTCAGACTCCTGCCGGAAGATACTCCTCCGGTTGATCCAGATGAGACAGTTCTAGCAGATGATCAGTTACAGACTGAAGAACATATCCCACAGATCAATGCGTCAACATCTGCAAATGAAGGTACTTCAATCTGCTCTTCTTGTATATGTCTTTGTGCCTGCGTCTGTGATTGTACTGAAGTGTACTCTGTGTGTTTGTGTCTGTGTCTGTCTTTGTATCGTGTGTGTGTCTCTGATTGTACTGCGTGTGTCTGTAATTGTAATGTAGTGCACTGAAGTGAACTATGTGTGTTTATGTGTGTGTGTCTGTGTGTGTCTGTGTGTACTGTGTCTGTCTGTGTGTCCGTCTGTGTCTGTGTGTGTCTGTGTTTATGCCTGTGTCTGTGTGTCTATGTCTGTATGTGTTTGTGGGTGTGTGTCTGTGTGTCCTTGTCTGTGTTACTGTGTCTGTCTGTGTGTCTGTCTGTGTGTCCGTCTGTGTCTGTGTTTATGCCTGTATGCCTGTATGTCTGTGTCTCTGTGTGTGTGTGTCTATGTCTGTATGTGTTTGTGGGTGTGTGTATCTGTCTGTGTGTGTGTGTGTGTGTGTGTGTGTGTGTGTGTGTGTGTGTGTGTGTGTGTGTGTGTGTGTGTGTGTGTGTGTGTGTGTGTGTGTGTGTGTGTGTGTGTGTGTGTGTGTGTTCTTTCATAGAAGTTGTTATTTCCAAGATACGAAGTTCGAAAAGCTAGCATTTAGTAATAGACGAATTTTGCAGCTGATATAAGAATCGACATGATGATGGTACTACACGAGATGCTCATGGAAAAGGTCTCCGTTTGCTTTCCTCCTCCCACGAGCAGTACAAAGTGTGGGTTCAACTTTAATCTGATAGAAGATATCGTATGCGGAACCCAAGCCCGGCCATGTCTGTACATAATAACGAAAGAAACCGGTAAGTTTCTAATCATGTAAATGTTCGGCCGAACGTTTGCATTCATTTTAGACTAGTGACGAAAATCAACAATCGTTTGCCAGTTTGGTTTGCAAAATCGACAAAAAATAGTCCATTCCCCATGGCCATGATATTAGAATTCTGCCCGTTGAAATCGGCCACTCTGATTTTTATCATTGAACTTCACATTGATGACATGTTCATTCTCTACAGGTTATGCTGCGAGGGCGTTTACCTCGATAGATGTTGAAAATGCCCACAGCATTATAAATCATTTGGACCGCCGAGGGGTCCAAAACTCCTCAATCGAAGAGCTTAGTAGACATGCCAGCAACCTACAGAGACTTCAAATTCTCAGGAAACCTCTCTAGGACGGTAATACATTAACTTGTTTAGTTAATAAATTTAATAAGTAGATTTTGAGTGATGATTACTGAATACAGATATCGAGCCTCGAGGTACCATAAAAAGGGTATATAAACTTATCACTTATGCTTATATGCTTATACTATCAATGAATATCAAATCGCCTTCTCTAGTTATCAAACCCAACATAAGTTAAATCTCTGCGTACAAGGACTATTTGATATTTACAACAGACCGAGTGAATGTCTCAATCTTTTCAGGAAGCTTTATACTCCGACATCCACAATTTACCACGCCCCTGAGATCGACAAAGGTCTTTCTGATAGATTGACTTCCAGCCAATTCGATCTATCGAAGCCGAGTGGGAAGAACAAAGAACTGAAACCCCATGGTCGCAACGATGCTCCTCGCGGACAAGGGAGAGTTAGGGCCATCGGTGGTCACAAGACTGGATAATATTTATTTTTTAAGCGTTGAGGTTGTCACGAAAGCGTACTGTAACGGGACTATCAGATTTGAGTGATTTGATTTTGTGATTTGCAGTTCACGTGATTTTATTGTGATTTTAGACTGTAAAAACTATAAAGGTTCAAGTTGAACTATCGTCGCCATGATTATGTATTTTGGAACTGTTCACGTTGAAATTGCTTCGTTAATCAGCAGTCTTCCTTGGTTACTTTCTACTGTGTAATGCAGCTACGATCAACGATACTTAGCTAGTACATTCATAGTAACACTAACTGCACTGCATGAGAAGAGTAAAAAATTTGAGCTTTGACGGAATAACATTTCCTTGTTTTTAGATACGGTTACTACTCTAGTGAGGGGTTCATAGCTGATCATTAAGGTCTTACTCACAATAATTTGTGCTCTGATATTGGCCGTACTGACGGCTGTTGAAAAAGCCACTCCGTCAGATGCGCGCCGCAAGAGTCCACCCCTGTAGACCCCACTACGTACAAAATTTGAAATTTTCCCAAAAACTTCTGATTAAGCTAGTTTGTTTTCAATAACTTTTGCAATATTTACAGTAGACCCTTCAAATTTTCACCAAATGTTACTCCAGACATTTCTGCATGGTAACTGTGTCATAGAATTTTAATTTAGGGACCCAATTTTGTGCAACACTCCGGTATCTGACGACCGGTCGCAGACGTGGTTATTGTATTGTCAACTTCTATTGCACACTGAGCGAGCTATATTTTGAGTACAAAGATAAACTTTACACCAGGTGAAAGCTGAGACGTTTCTCTTTAAGATGATCACCTCACATTCTGTGTATCTGTGACATTGAGATAGTAACGAATCAAAACGTCAAGTTGAACAGGCTACAAAATACGCGCTGAATAAAAGTCCACCCCAGGAGTCCACCCCACGCGCGTAGAGTGATAAATGTTAGGCTCTGTAGTTTACGTTGAGCCGTAGTTTTAGCTGCAGTATTTTCATTTTCTAGTTTCTACGTATGTTTTATCACAAATTTCTCGGAGACGATTAATTGAAAAGTCTGATACTGAGGAAGAACCACGGTTTTTATTTTACTAGCCATAGTTTAATTTAAGCCGTATGTTGTATTTTCTATATTTAAACGTACCCAACGTAGACAATAACTTTTTAAACTTTGAAATCTCAAAATTACCATTAAATTGTGTTTGACTTTTTTCAAAAATGTGCCAATATCATTTTTGAAATCCCCGGCTGTTCCCCCGGCAAATGCATGGTTTTTGGCCGGTGTTAAATTCATTGGTCGGGGTTTACTGATTACTCCCGGCGAATTGCCAAATTTTGGCCGGGGCCCCGGTCGACCACTGTATTTCACGCTGGAATTAACTGGACCGTGATCATTACTGATCAGACTCTCAGACAAACATGATACTCTAATTCTATCACATGACTGATGAGTATGACATTACGACCAATAAGACCGCGCGCTGGTGAGTTCCTCAGAAATGAAATCGCATGCTATTCTCAGTTTTGAGTTTGTCTAAGTTGTGCTGCTATTTAAAATCATATTTTTTGATATTGTGCAAATGGCTTGTATCACGTGGTGACCCCCACGGTCGCTTCACTATATGCTATAGTCTTCGACGATACAGGGGGAGCCGCGCACTTCGTGCGCGGCGGGTCATACAACGTATGACAACAAATGGCCATACAATTACAAATAAAATAAACATTTAAAAATTATAAATTACATAAAAACAATTTTTACAGCAAATAAGACAAAATTATTTTAAATTTGGCACCCACTGAAAAACTCAAAAAGCGGCGGGTTTCAATTATAAGATCACCAAAAATCAATTAAGGTGATTTTGATAGCGACAAAATTCTTTTAAAACAACATATTACCTTCAGATTAATGTTTAAGACCTCCAAAAAACCTACAACGTTAAGCATAACCCAGGTAATCAAGATCAAACCGTTAGATATGTTATCTGAATCATCATTCAACTTTAACCTCTTAAATTTAGATTTATGGACAGCCCAAGGAATCGTTCGCGGTTCGCATATTATAAGTATATAAATAATTTATATACTTATAATATGCGAACCGCGAACGATTCCTTGGGCTGTCCATAAATCTAAATTTAAGAGGTTAAAGTTGAATGATGATTCAGATAACATATCTAACGGTTTGATCTTGATTACCTGGGTTATTACATGACGTGACAGATGTTGACCATTTGTAATCCCCTCCGTGATCAGCAATAATACACTTAAAGTTGTGTGGAAATAAATAGAATAACGATTTCCAAACCCTCTTCACCCTTAAGCGTAACATGTTAAAGATCCCGTAATTCTTTTGGTCATAATCGGTGTTCGATCTTTAGATATAAGTATACTACAGATTACTCTTCCACAGGCATTAACGATATGTTTTCAAGCATATCTTTCAAGTCCTTACCTATTATTTAAGTTAATTTGTGGCATGTTTAGATTAAACACTGCTGAGTATAAGTCCTACCTCAATAATTGTACATTATTACAATTTATTGTTAATCTTATTATCATTCAGCATCATTCGTATTATTTGTATATTTGCATTAATTAGGGGTCGTTCACATATTACGTAATCAGCTGAGGGGGAAGGGGGTTTCCGAATGATTACGCTAGTGTAATTTTGACACAATAGCTATGTGTAAAACTGATTACGGAGGGGGGGGGGGGGGGGGGGGGTTAAAATGTTCCAAAAAATGATTACGTAATATGTGAACGACCCCTTACTATAGATTCCCGTAAGCAAAACAAGCCCGGCCAAAGAACTCTGGCTATTCTCTATTAAGTTATTTCTGATAGTGAAAATATCAACAACACAATCCCTTCATCAGCCAGTAAACCACGTGCAAACCACGTGCAAACCACGTGCAAACCACGTGCAAACCACGTACAAACCACGTGTCCTCACTCCTCAACTCCCATATTCTGAACTAATTTTTAGTTATTTACTAGTTGTAATCAGTAATAATTCGGTGATTAAATATTTCAACTCTGTCGACAGCTGTTCTGTAATTCCTCACCGCTCATTCTCTGAAACAAAAAATCTAAGTTTATTAGAATAATTAAAATATTTAGAATATGATCGCAAAAGTTGGAAAACTTTCTTTGGCTCGTCAAAAGTATTTTTTATAGCTTAAAGAATTAATTAAATTTAAGATAAGTAGCGGCATCCATTTCCAACATTTATTCGTTTTGGTGTTTTATTACAACTATAGAACTATTGAGATGGTTCTATCAATTATTATCCAGGCATAACTAAAGTTGTCGCGTAAATACTACGATGAAATTTAAACTTTATTAGTGTATAACCTCTAAATCTAGTCGATGCACAAAATAGAAACCACTTGCATAATAACAATATGCCTGAGATCATACCGGTTACACACCAGGCACATACCGATAAAATACATTCTCTCATGATCAGTGTGTAACTGTCCATAATGTAAAAGTTGTTATCTTACTCTTGTTTATATACATTATACATGTTACATGGCGAGATCTCCATCCAAAAGGATTAGTCTGCGTCGACTGCGTCATTACTTTGTATTATACAACTTCGGCGGGTAACATTTCTACATCCCTTTCGGTCTGCAGCTAATCTTCTCATACAATCAATCGTGAGTCCATTACGATCCAATCTCTGCTCAGCATCCTCAATGAATACATCATTTAAGCTCTTCCTAGGCCTGCCTCTTGATCTCTTCCCATGCTTGGGTTTCCATTCAAGTAAATAGTTGGGCAACCGATCTTCAGGCATTCTACTGACATGTCCAAACCAACGCAGCCGTTTTGTTGTTATTATGTCAGCAAGGGCAGTTATTGATGCCCTTCTTAAAACATCCTCATTACTTACTCGATGGAACCACCTCACTCTCAGGATTCTTCTTAAGCAGTACTGATGGAAAGACTCCAATCTTCTTGTCTGCACTTAAGTCGTGTTCCATATCTCACATCCATAGGTCAGAATGGTAAGAACAGCTGCGATGTAGATTCGCACTTTGTTGTTAATGCCTATGTTCTTATTCTTCCAAATGTTGTTGAGTTGGTTAAAAGCGCCGGTTGCTTTTCCAATCCTGACACTTATTTCTTTATCAATCTTGCCATCTGATGGAATTTTGGCACCCAAATAAGTGAATTGAGCGACCTGCTTTGCAGAGTTTCCATCGACAGTTATATCTATGGTCCTATTCTCTGGGAGTGGGTGCTGCGATGTATCTTTCCAAATGACCACTTTTGTTTACGCTAATATAATGCATTAAATAGGGGTGCAATAACTAGGAGGGAGATAACTATTGTTATACCAGGCACATAGCGATAAAATACAGTACATACCGATAAGAAGATGGTGAGAACATCATGTGACAGGGAGTCACGTGACGCATTCTTCTCCACGATCTCACTAAGATTACTCAGCTGAGTTTCATCTTCCAGATTAGGAGTCCAGATCTTAACACAATGCTCTAAACCAGAACTCGCTATCATCGGACTGAAATGGAGGAATGGTAGGAATATTAGGAATGTTAGGAATATTAGGAATGGAGGAATGTTAGGAATATTATAAATGTTAGGAATATTAGGAATGTTAGGAATGGTATGAATATTAGGAATGGCAGGAATGGTAGGAATATTAGAAATGTTAGGAATGGTAGGAATGGTAGGAATGGTAGGAATGGTAGGAATATTATAAATGTTAGGAATATTAGGAATGTTAGGAATGGTATGAATATTAGGAATGGCAGGAATGGTAGGAATATTAGAAATGTTAGGAATGGTAGGAATGGTAGGAATATTAGGAATGTTAGGAATATTAGGAATGGTAGGAATATTATAAATGTTAGGAATATTAGCAATGTTAGGAATGTAAGGAATGGTAGGAATATTAGAAATGTTAGGAATGTTAGGAATGGTAGAAATGTTAGGAATGGTAGGAATATTAGGAATGGTAGGAATGGTAGGAATATTAGAAATTTTAGGAATGGTAGGAATTTGAGGAATGGTAGGAATATTAGGAATGGTAGGAATGTTAGGAATGGTAGGAATGTTAGGAATGGTAGGAATATTAGGAATGGTAGGAATGTTAAGAATGGTAGGATATTAGGAATGTTAGGAATATTAGGAATGGAGGAATGTTAGGAATATTAGAAATGGTAGGAATGTTAGGAATGGTGGGAATGTTAGGAATGGTGGGAATGTTAGGAATGTTAGGAATGTTAGGAATTGTAGGAATGGTAGGAATGTTAGGAATGGTAGGAATGTTAAGAATGGTAGGAATGGTAGTTATTCAGATGCTCTATTACTTGATTTTATTAACATAATACACACCTGTAAGGGTTAAACTCGAGGACGTTAACTATACCATCCTCCTCCCCTACTAGACACTGTACTATGTCCTCTGTTGTTGTGTTCCACAGAAATATATGCCCGCAATCACTGCCTATACAATATCAATTAGTATCGAATTATTAATTTGGGCAAAATTTACATGTCCTAAAGTCACAATTAACACAACTTAGATTCAAGATGATATGCAGGTACCACCCGTATTCACACTCAGACCTGAGTTTAGTCATTTTCCGATACGAGATTGGGGACGGGTTCTATAAACAAACAAACAAACAAACATATGTAAAACTCATTATAAATCAAGATAATCAGTAAAACTAAAATGCAAGAGTCTCCCCGAAGTGTAACTAACCTGACATGACATACTCAGAGTTGAGCCCGTAGAAGTTGACTCCTTTAACTGTGTCATGATTTCGGTGTCCCGTGTACTTGTGCTTGTACTCCGTGTTATCGTGCGTGTTGTACAGATATATCGTGTCGTTGTTGTAACTTACTATCAGTGAACTTCCTGAGGTGGTGAATATGACCATATTAGGTCATAACGTGACAAGGTCCCTGACATCAGGTGGGCACGTGATATTGCGAAGCGTAAGATGTAAAGTGTTTTGGTGGTTGTTATTGTTCTACTGAGCTCCCTGAATAATGTGATATTGTTAGAGGTGAACGTGAAAAACTGACCATTGTAATTTAAACTGACTGTTGTAATTGAACTTGTAATTGAAACTGAACGATGTAATTGAACTTATTATTTAAACTGACCGATATATTTGAACGTGTAATGTAAAAACTGACCGTTGTAATTGAACTTATTATTTAAACTGACCGATATATTTGAACGTGTAATGTAAAAACTGACCGTTGTAATTGAACTTGCAGCAGGTTCCGGTGTCTAACTCAGCGTGATCCTCAGTCTCATTGTCACTGTCCTCTTCTTGCGAGAGTGGATTGTAGATGAGAGCCGGGGTAGCTGGGTTTCTGAGGTCGTGTAACCAAGTCTCCGTTGAAACCTGCGATGATGACGTCATGATATTTTACCATGACATCATACCATGACATCATAGTATTGTACCAGTCGACAGCTGCTTTTAACCTTACCAGTATATGTAGCCGCGCACTTTAACAACCCTAAACACCAAAGCCCGAAGAAACAAATACTCTAGATTTTTGCCATATTTTTCATAAGAACTGCCCATTTTCCCAGCCCACAAACCCCAGAGAGTATGATGTAGTTATTGTAGTCCGTATCAATAGAGTACAATGCTTTGTCTTGCTCAACAATCACATTACTCTTGTCTGTCCGCATGTCCGTCTGTGCAACACAGCCATCCTCGCCTGCACTCAGCACTTCGTTTCTGCAGGGAAGCACGAGGCGTAACTTTTATTTTTTATGTATAACAGACAGGGGTTCAGTATTTTCTTTTTCAAAGTTTGGTCGCCAATTGTTTGTCTCGATTTTACACGGTCTATTCTTAAAATTGGAATGACACGTAATTTAAAAGGACAGCAAAAGCCGCGGTAAATCGGGGTTTTTATTGTTTACATTAAATTTTATTGTTTACATTATCATGTATGATAATGCATGTTTAGTCCCATTTGGGGTAAGGAAATCGGGGTTTGCCGTTTATGATAAATCGGTGCGCAGTAAATCTGTATGCTGTTTTGTAATTTTGATCAGCAATCTGGGGGGGGGGGGGGGGGGGGGGGGGGGGGGGGGGGGGGGGGGGGGGGGGGGGGGGTGGGGAAATAGCCCAACCAAAAATAGCCCAACCAAAAATAGTTCAAGATTTTCAAAATTGAACAAAAATTTTAAAAAATTGGTCAAGGAGCAAACCTGTTGTTGACACATAGCTTGTGAGTTGCTCCGGAGTGCTTAGTAAGTTCCCGCTCTGTTACCCGGTCCCCTGAACTGATGTGGTAGTGTCTTACACTGCCGTCACGTGCTGCTGATACCATCTCGTTCTCTACATTAGGCACCTGGAAAAGTGATGACGTCATAACATAATGATGACGTCATCACAGAGTAAATACGTCATGACAGATTGATAAGGGGGTACGCCAGAACACAAACTCACATATTTTGTCTGGAAGATATTGCTAAAGTGTCCCGTTCTGTGAGTAAGAATAGTTTTACCCTCCACAATATCTGTCATACAGATGCACGTGTCATCACTTCCACTAATCACTCTGTCCCCTGAGGTTAAACTGGGGTCACGTGGTTAGATAAGGGTAACGTGGTTAGATAAGGGTCACCAGGTTAGATAAGGGTCACGTGGTTAGATAAGGGTCACGTGGTTAGAAAAGGGTCACGTGGTTAGAAAAGGGTCACGTGGTTGGATAAGGGTCACGAGGTTAGATAAGGGTTACGTGGTTGGATAAGGGTCACGTGGTTAGATAAGGGTCACGTGGTTAGAAAAGGGTCACGTGGTTAGATAAGGGTCACGTGGTTGGATAAGGGTCACGAGGTTAGATAAGGGTCACGTGGTTGGATAAGGGTCACGTGGTTAGATAAGGGTCACGTGGTTGGATAAGGGTCACGTGGTTAGAAAAGGGTCACGTGGTTAGAAAAGGGTCACGTGGTTGGATAAGGGTCACGAGGTTAGATAAGGGCCACGTGGTTGGATAAGGGTCACGTGGTTAGATAAGGGTCACGTGGTTAGAAAAGGGTCACGTGGTTAGATAAGGGTCACGAGGTTAGATAAGGGTCACGTGGTTAGATAAGGGTCACGTGGTTAGATAAGGGTCACGTGGTTAGATAAGGGTCACGTGGTTAGATAAGGGTCACGAGGTTAGATAAGGGTCACGTGGTTATATAAGGGTCACGTGGTTAGATAAGGGTCACGAGGTTAGATAAGGGTCACGTGGTTAGATAAGGGTCACGTGATGTAGTGTATAATACCTGTGTGGTTGAAGGAGAGTGAGTTAACACCCATCATGACACTGCAACTCGGTGTGAAGTCCAAACCTCTTGATAAAACCCAGACTACTGATACATTCCTTCTGGAGCCGGCTCTTATTGCCTGGGGTGGGGAAATTGATAAGCGATCACTTAGAGGAATCATAAAGCAGAGGTCATTTCAGGAGTGAATTTATCTGGATTAAGCTTTGGAAGAAACTAAGTGATGGAAACACTGGTATTTTTGAATAAAATGGTCAGTACCTATAAGTTCGTTGAGACTGCGTTCATAAAGAAGTTTGTGAATCATGGTAACTATGGAGTCGGGAAATCAATCACCGAAAATAAGTCGGTCATTCCTGGGACTATCATGGCTGAAGTCGAATTAAATTAATGAGATGAAACAGACGTAACCTCTCAGCAAAATCGGTCAATATAAAAAGCACAATTTTACTATTCACGAGTATTAAGCAATTATCAGATTCTATTTTGTGAGATCAGATGGATTTAGATGAATTGGGATGTATAATGACCTAAGGTTTAAACTTCTCACAATAAAACCACTTCATTCGATTTTAGCAATTTTCGTAAAAACTAGGTTACATCCAACAACGCCGTTGGAGACTTGCAAGTAAAAAAAGGAATGTAGCATAACATTTTTTAGGTACAGAACATTTTAAATGATGATACTGAAATATTTATTTTAATATTATACATATGAGACAAATAATTGATAATATTAAATGACTATTTTACTAAAACTTTTTTAACAAACGATCCGTCCTGAAACTGGCGATCAATCAACAAATCATAGTAGTGGTAATTAAATCTGCAATTAATAGTTCTTTTCGCCCAAAATAAATTACAAGCAGATGATAAATCATGTAGTTATCTGGTCATGCAGGTGATATTGACAATATTATTATACTCTAGCTCTTGTCCAGTTTCTACTTGTTAAACTACTTAGGGAGGGAGGGATCACATATTACCTCAGTATTCGGGGAGCTGGAGAGGGGTCTCGAAATGCATTGACGGTAAATTTCTGTCAAAAGGGGTCTGAAAAGGGCAAAAAATCTGACGTAATATGTGAATGGTTCCTTATCACAAGAGAGAATAATAATGGTAAACTCATAACAAGCAAAGAAGATGGACAGTCTTCACGCAGAGCGACAAATTGAACAAAAAATCCACCAAAAAAAGCGATAACATAATATTACAGGACATTGGGGATACAATATAAGTTCAACATTGAAGTCTATATGTTGTAGTGTTGTACTACATGTTGTACTATGTGTTGTACTACATGTTGTAAGGAGGGAGGATTAACCGTTGGCTGACTGACCGTTTAGCAGAGTTGTATCGAATAACACCGAAAAGCATGGTAACGATACCTGGGGAGAAGGGTGTGAATGTAGAATTGAAATTTTTTTTCTTCGAAAAAATTTTGTTTTCTTCGAATGTCTGAACTTCAGTTTCCTTTGAAGGTCATTAACGGAATTCGACCCCCATTATAATTCAATTTTGATTAATTCATTTATAACACCTCGTTGGCAGCTGCAACACACGTAAAGTCACTAACCTACTCACGTGACGTCACTAACCTACTCACGTGACGTCACTAACCTACTCACGTGACGTCACTAACCTACTCACGTGACGTCACTAACCTACTCACGTGACGTCACTAACCTACTCACGTGACGTCACTAACCTACTCACGTGCCGTCACTAACCTACTCACGTGACGTCACTAACCTGCTCACGTGACGTCACTAACCTGCTCACGTGCCGTCACTAACCTACTCACGTGACGTCACTAACCTGCTCACGTGACTTACCTATTGCCATGAGAGCAAGAAACTGAAACTCATGAATTTCCAAATACTCTCTAGCTGCCACCATTTGGGGGTTCACAAACGAGCATCTCTGAGGAAGTGAGATTGCTTTACTTAAACAAGTTTTCATTGGTTTCTGTTGAGTTAATTAATACTACATAATGCCTACCGAAAGTAAAGTTTTTGTTACTGTATCACTATTTTGGTTACATTAAGTTATCAGACTAACATGCGACATCCGTCGTTGACGTTTTGTCTAATAATCCAATTATATGAATAATGAATGATTACATTTGGTAACTTGATGATCACACAATAAAGGACAGGTCGACTGTGCTATGATGGACTGCTGAGGCAAGTCAACGAGGTTTAAAGCTTCAGACCGAGATATGAGGTCGTTTGTAGGGAGAGGGTGCTAGAGTCCATGCTAAACGCTTAACAGAAGAGTAAAATCTGAACTTTTGTTCAATAGATTAAAAATCACCATTCAGACATAACAATCGTTCAATGTAACAATTAAAAGAGTGAGTAATTATGAAAAGTTTGTGGTTAGTACAGTTCTTCCGGGTACGGTGGTTCCTTAAACTCTCAAATAGTTAAAAAGAGGCACTGAGGCAGTACCACAACAAAGCGATACAAGTTTAAACCAATCGTCAGGAAATTACGGCCGTTTGCGTTTAAAGATTTTTATGGTTAGCTAGGAGTTACCTGGGGACCCCAGGCTATAATTTTCATAAACATATAGAGATTCGGCGGAATGACAGGCTGAGCGCCGCCCAGTAAGGTTAGGAGGTGCACAATAAAACTAAACTTGCTTGGATTTTTAAAACCCAAGCAAGTTTAGTTTGTTTTTTATACTTATAGTTAGTTATAGAGTGTGAGCTTTTTCACAGTACCAATTTTGTCATACCTTTTTGGAATATAATCAGTGAGTTTCGCACCTAGCTAGCTAGGTAGTAGGTACCATATTTATATAATAACGCACAGCTTTCGGAGCTTCATGTCACTTTCAGTAAGTGTAAGACTAAGAGTCGTTTAATTCGACGAAATTTATTGATTTTCGTCGTATTATTTTGTCACAATGAGATCATTTGAAAATTCTTAAGGACCTTCTAATCAAACTTTTATGTTTTAAATTCTGAATATGCCCGGAAAATTTTCCGGGCATATTCAGAATTTGGCCCCGCGGGCACCGTTTGGCGGTTGGGGTCCGGGACCCCCTCAAAAGTTTGGTCACCGGTCCTAGTTTGTTGGTCAACTGCTATCTCGAAAACAAGTTTCACAAAAAATCAGGGTGAACCCCCCCCCCCCCCCCCCCCCCCCCCTTAAATGTTAAAACTTTCCGAAAAACTTGGTGGATATCGGAGTTGATATAGTAATGAAAATGGAGTAAAAGACTGGTATGAGCTAAGCTAAGTAAAGTAAAAAGTGTTTGACATGATTGGATATCACTATCAGATATAATACCCCAACTTTTTCGGAAAGTTTTTTGTAACTCTATCATTCAGCAATCAGTAAGCTAGGATTGAGGAAAGTGTTAAGCACACGTGTAGCATCTAGACGTTAATTGGAAGTCAAAATTGTATCCTTATAGCCTCTTAGTCTTAATTGACGATCATGTCAACAGTTAATTCATCGCAGCTCGGCGCGCCACAGTAGTGCATTTCGCCGATCTAGCGTTGATTCACGATGTCAATCCTTCGCAGCTCGGTGAGGCACAGTGGTGCATCTCGCCGATCTACCGAAGATTGCGAGAAGCATTATTTGATGCGCGCGCGACCCAGTAGTGCATCGCGCTACAAATCTAGCGCAAAGCGAGGATCGAGCATAATCGAGTGCGCGGCGCGGCACCTAGTTATAAGTATAACACATCCCCAAGAAACCTTATTGGTAGGGGCCTAACTTCAAAAATAAAAGAAATAGGAACGTCTGGTTTTCAACAAAATGTTCGCTTTGTAAAAATAACGTTTCCTCCCCAGGAGGAAAATTTAAGACAACGTAGATTTTGGATTATCGCAAAAAGTCTTATTTTGGGCCTTTTAAAAGCAGCTTTAACTTTGCGGATTCTTGTTCTCTGATTGGCCGAATCGTATCAAGTGGTACGTACTGATGCAATTGCATTCTTGGAATGTTTGAAGCGTGCAAATGTAATGAACTAACGAGCGCGCGCGGAGTTCAACAAGCTGTGTAGACGCGATAACCTGTAGTAATATCGCCAGCCAGTGGCAGTAAGGTCTGCTGGGTATGAGAGAGCCGAGAAGCTCCAAAAGAAGAGAGCACAAGGAGGGGGGTAGGAAGTTGAGAAAGGGGGGGGGGGGGGGGGGGGGGGATATTTCGATATGAGGCTTATTTTGACGGGTAAAAGTATGAAATTTTTTACTGGGCCGCGCTCAGCCTGTCATTCCGCCTAATCTCTATTATATTTCGGTTGTTTACCAGCATTAAAGCCTGGGGTCCTCAGGTAAGAAAGTTTAAAAGTCGATTTTGAGGGAGAAGATTGCGTTTTTACTACCTACCCCATCCAAGAGTCCCCTTTCGTGTTGACAAAATTCTTTAGTTTCTTTTGGTATTTTAACATTGAAATTTGACTTTGTTGGTGGCGATTTATGCTATGTCAAAGTGGAAGCTTTTAAAAATGAAAGCGAAAGTCTTAAAACTCAAAACTGCGCGTTGGTTTTATAATTGGTTTTATGGATCAAAAAAGTTTCAGTTGTATATCTTTTACGGTTTTTGCGGAAAGTCGCGTTAAAGTTGATGCCGTGGTGTCATGGTAAAATGGTACGGATAAACATTAAACACATCCATATTGATATATATCGTCTCGCTTTATATATAGTAAGATACTCGCGTGAAGAGAATATACTGTGTTTCACAAGTGTAGAAACAGGAAAATGTAAACCAGGTTCTTTGAGTAATACCGTTTAAAGTGAATTATAAGATAACGTAAATTAATTGATGACAAGCATAATTGATCTGGCACAATTAAGCAGTAATTGAACAACTGAACAGTGATCAGCTTAAAACTTGAGGTTATTAAAAAGGGTGCTTTTTATAGAATGCACATTAAATGATGCAAACGCTATAAATAATAATATGACGAGGTAATGATAGTAAGTCATGAGTTCGTTTGCAAATCGTGGAGCTTCCCGTTTGGCACGGAGTTGAGTTTTAGATAAAAATAGAAATTATAACACTGAACAAACATTTATTGAACGCCTTATATTCGGGTTCATACATATTAAAATATTAGAATATGTGATTTACTCCCATCGAGAATTCGAAAGTAGCAACTTTCGATTCTAAAGTTCCAGACACTTAGTCAAGATTGCTAGGGCGTTGACCAACTCGGAAAGAATTAGACAGGAGCACAAAGCTGAATAACTCCTGAATAGCTGCGACGGTTAACACGCATTTTTGAAAGCATTTCTTACTTACAAACTATCGTATCATTTATGGACACGTTCATTGAAGTTTGAGGATATCGGTAAACAAACAAAAAATAGCGTTTTCGACGATAGTGGCTTAATTTTAGCATCTATTAATCTAGCATGTTCAGAAGTTCTGAACATTAGCCACATGGCCCATAGTCATACTCCCATATGGCATATATGCACTGGCACTATACTCTATAGACATAATGATCACAGTTGCCTTTATATTCACAATACTATTTACCCCCTTTACTATTATACCCCTTTATTGTTTTTCAGGCATTAAGACTTATCGAAAGTAGTTCAGCAGGTATATTTACGTTCAAAATATTCTAATTCAATGTCAAAGATGACAGGAATAAGAAATACTAATAGTTATGTGGAGGTTTTTAAGAAATTTGCGCAAAATACGCGCCAGTGCAGCATGTTATATTATACGAAATTCGGTAAAAAACCGAAAATTGCCATATTCAGGTGCCTCAAAAACCATGTTAAAATTGAGTTAGAGATCTGAAACTTTGCAGGGCGTCTAGACGTTGACCAAATCGACTACAAAAAAGTTTCAAGTTTCAGGAGCATCGGGAAGTGGGTTTTCTAGAACCCCTGTTTTACGACAGATTGTCGTGATATATATATATATTTTGTAGCTGTACTCCTACACATTAAAAGTCGGTGTTGATTAGATCTTCGAAATAAGTCTTTGCATCATTTTATTAAACATCGTTATCTGAGATAAAATTGTTCTAAAAGCAACTGGAATATTCACAAATCTTTAAAATAACTTACAAACTAGGAAAGGAAAACAAGTCTTAGGAAGACGTACAAAACTATGTGACTTAAAACGTTACAAAACTAAAATATACTGTGTAATAATCAAACGAAAAGAATGGCTGCGTACATTTTATCTAATCTATTAAAGATTAGTTTCTCGGAAAAAGCTAGATTTCTCTGAATCAAGCAGTAAAAATATATAAATAGTAATGAATATAACACGTCTCTGATAGCAATATTGTAAACTAAACACGGGTTAATAGGCTGAGATCATGTCAAATAAAATAAATAAACTAAACACTAAGCTCCAGCGGATTTAAAAAGGATGTGGTTACTATCGAGGGTGTTCATACCCCCATAACGCTCAAGGGTTTTCAATTGGGTCTGGTAGAACCCCTCTCTAGCTTCCATGGCCTTTTCCCTATCTGCTTTACTTATTTCAGGTTTAAATTCAAGAGCGTCCACTATAATAACAGAAAGGTGCGTACTAAGTGAAGAGTTATATAAGGCTACTGAACTAAAATCTAAATCATGATCAATATCTAAAAAGTGATTTACTAACTTACAACTTCTGATACCTTTCTTAATGTGGCTCTTATGATTAGAAAATCTCTTAGGGAGATTAGAAGTAGTATATCCTACATACGACTGTTTACAAGTTCTACACTCCATTAAATAAATAAGGTTATTACTCTGACAAGTTATATATTTAGTAATAGGGAAAACTTGTTTAGAATGGTGACTACTAAATTTGGAACAAGGGGACAGGAAACTTTGCTTACAAACATAGCATTTTCCACAGGCATGGCACCCTGCGTTGTCAGCCTCCCGAACAGCCGGCAATATTGCAGCGTCTGGTTCAAGAAATTGACTAGCAGTGGCTTCTCCATCTCTATCACTGCTTACAGTTCCACTAGCACGATACTTATTGTGTACAAGCATGCCACCGATAGTTTGATTCTTTCGGTGACTTACAAATACACTGTCAGCACGTACTAGCTTCTTCAAGGCTGGATCGAGATTAAGAAGGTGCTTATACTTGTGAATAATGCTCCCCATGTTGGGAAGTGCTGGATTCTGATCCATCACCATGGGTATTAGACAAGTAGTCGTCTCATCCTTATTTTTAGGGGCATACAAGTTTTTCCTATTGGTTATATCACTAAATTTGTTGAAAGCATCGTCTACAATACTAGAATGGTAACCACGGGCTACAAGGTAACCAGTATATACCTCCCTTTGCTCTAAGAAATTAGTGTCTTCACTATTGTTCTGCCTCACTCGCCTCGCCACACCATAGGGTATGTTTTTGAGAACATGGCTCCTATGACATGAGGTGGGGATGAGGTAGCAGTGGGTGTCACTGGGCTTAGAGTAAAGTTTGGTATGAATAACATCGCCAACAGCATAGACATAGGTGTCTAAAAACTCAACACCATCCTTAGAGTAGTCGTAAGTAAACACAAGGTCCGGATGGATACTATTGAGCCATTCCATAAATTGTAGAAGCTCCTCAACAGTACCAGGCCAGGCCATGTATATATCGTCACGCAACCTACCCCAGAATGCTGGTCTGTGTGGCGGGCCATGTTCTAAATCTCTTTCATTAACTAAAATATCGATCTTATCCATTGCACAATCTGCATACTCACATGAGTTCTTAGGACCCATCGCCGCTCCACGCTCCTGACGGTATGTTATACCGTTGAACGAAGCTATGTTGTAATCAAGAGTGATTTCTAGAGCACTAATAATGCATTCTGTACTGAACAATTGATCATAACTACTTCTTTCATTCAGGTGCTTGGTGCATTGTTGGATCCCCATATCCCTGGGGATATTGGTGAACATGTTGGATATATCTATGGCAACATGTATCACCTCCTTACCCAACAATATGGTGGACTCATTCAAGCTATCAATCTTCCTCAAAAAATGAGGGGTGTCAATAATTCTATAATCTAAAATAGCCTTCTTCAATTCGTATGCAGTCAGGGCAGATAGGTTCTCAATGTACGAACCACATCCAGTAGTAATCATCCTCCCAGGGTACAAAGGTGGCTTGTGGGCCTTGGGATTCAGGTACATATTACCAGGCTGGTTGAGCTCCGTACACGGAATAACCCACTCCCTGACCTTCTTAGACATACCTAATTCTTCTTTATACTTGACTGTCCAACATGAAATTTTATCAATTAATTCTGAAACTAAATCATCTACATTATTTACAATACTATATACAGATCTATCATTCAAATGTACACCTATTCGTTGAATATATTCTTCCTCTCCAAGAAGAAAGAATCCTACCCCTTTGTCAAAAGGTCTAATAACCACATCCTTCCATCCTTTCACTTCTTTGAGAGCTGATCTGATAGGTGCAGCGATGTTGTCTGGTGAAACATACTTCTGAGTTGGCCGGTGGAGATCAACTTCTGCTCTGCAGCATTTAATGAATGCCTCGAGTGCAGGGTTTTTACATGATTCAAAAGTACGTGATGATTCGGCCTTGATGAGGCAGCGCTCCATGTCAGTAACTCTTTTATCTGCTTTGTTGGGTCCACATTTGAAGCTATCAAAAACAACTTTGGCTCTCATTTTGGAAAACCATGTACACAAATCGTTCTCGAAGCGACTCAGATCTGGTAGGGGAGGTGTAGGTGCAAACTTATGAGACAAGAAGAAGACATATAGTTGCTCTTTGGTGAGCTCCTTGTCTGTAAGGTTAACAACTGTTCTGGACATGTTTTCCATTGATAAGTCTTCAACCTTCGGAAGGGTGCCTTTGATCAATGTCCTCTGATGTCTGTGAGACGAAGTACGGTTGACCTTTTTCCTCTTCCTCCTATATATATATATATGATGATTGGTATTGTTTTTATACATATCATGAAACGGCCCGGATCGTTTGCCCGCCAATTTGATTTGTTTCAATTGTTCGAATTATATATATATATACATATTCAGGGATAGACTCGCTTTTCCCATTCATTCACAGCTTACGAATTGTGATAGGCCCCGGCCTTGGCAACATTTCAAAATCCCGGTTAATCCCGGCCCCGGCTGATTCAACTTGGTCCCGGCCCCGGCTAAATTTCGTCCCCGGTAGATCCCTGGCGAAAGGTGATAATTTTGCTCATTTGTGATTTCGAACAAATTCTGCTTTACCACGACAGTTCAACATTCAATGTCATTTACATTATCAATTATATATGAATTTAATGCCAATGAGTATAAAGTGGCATATTTAGTCAGTGATCGACCGATATGCTTACCCAAACACAAGGAAATGATTTGAAAGGAAAAATTCCGAATTAATCGTTGAAACTTCCTCCTTATTAATGGAGATATCAGTTTATATTTCGACTTTCTAAACACTCTGGCATTATAATCAAAAAGAGATGATATTTGACCAAAACCCATAATCATGGGTAGAGTGGACCGCTGCTTACTGGGCGGCGCTCAGCCTGTCATTCCGCCGCATCTTTGTTATTTATGAACATAATAGCCTGGGGTCCTCAGGTAAACCGCTGCCAGTGTCTCTCTTTCCCAAACAAGAGGAAATGATATTAATATGATTGACCGTTTTCAAATGCAAAATGATACCGAGAATGAAATCGATCGCTCGCTTTTCCCAAACATTTACAATTGTAATAGAAGAAGAACTACCCGAAGGCAGCTGTACTCGGTAATAAAGATTCAATAAACTTCAGCTAATTCACTAACTACTAACAGTTACCCTAAGTCTTACCACTGGGCGATCAATGACCAGCAGATAATTATAGCCTCATGAAATAGAGTCTTATATGTGTAACAGGAGCACTTTACAATGCAAAACCTTCTAGTTTTGGATTATGTAATAATTCATTATTATTATGTAATAATTTATTTTTCAGACTCCATCTGGATCGACATATTATGCGGGCAGGCAGGTAGGCAATAATTTATAAACCCAGCAAATTATAATAAAACCCCCTATCCGTTTATTTTGTTGCCAGATTGCCGATCGGGTGAAAATACAATTACCGTCACAGTGGCATATTCGGAAATAAACGTACCTGCATTGTGCATTCTTGAGATAATGGTACAATAGTGAAAATTATACTTATAGAATTATACACAACTCGTTGACTTTTATTCTTTGAGTTTAAGACTACAGCCACACCTCTTTACCAAAGGAAGCATTTTATGGAGCTTATGAAGTACTGAAATACTACTGCAAGGACAAAGGAAGGAAGCAGTGGAGACTTTATATATAAATAAAGTGTGTGCACCACTATCCAGACTTGAGTTTAGTAACTGACAGAAATACTTTCGATGAATGAAATCGCATGCTATTCTCAGTTTTGAGTTTGTCTAAGTTGTGCTGCTATTTAAAATTATATTTTTTGATATTGTGCAAATGGCCATACAATTACAAATAAAATAAACATTTAAAAATTATAAATTACATAAAAACAATTTTTACAGCAAATAAGACAAAATTATTTTAAATTTGGCACCCACTGAAAAACTCAAAAAGCGGCGGGTTTCAATTATAAGATCACAAAAAATCAATTAAGGTGATTTTGATAGCGATAAAATTCTTTTAAAACAGTCTGAAAACTCAACCTATTACCTTCAGATTAATGTTTAAGACCTCCAAAAAACCTACAACGTTAAGCATAACCCAGGTAATCAAGATTAAAATCAATAATTCTTAACCAAGAACAAAGAAGACCGTTAGATATGCTATCTGAATCATCATTCAACTTTAACCTCTTAAATTTAGATTTATGGACAGCCCAAGGAATCGTTCGCGGTTCGCATATTATAAGTATATTACATGTGACAGATGTTGACCATTTGTAATCCCCTTCGTGATCAGCAATAATACACTTAAAGTTGTGTGGAAATAAATAGCATAATAATTTCCAAACCCTCTTCACCCTTAAGCGTAACATGTTAAAGATCCCGTAATTCTTTTGGTCATAATCGGTGTTCGATCTTTAGATATAAGTATACTACAGATTACTCTTCCACAGGCATTAACGATATGTTTTCAAGCATATCTTTCAAGTCCTTACCTATTATTTAAGTTAATTTGTGGCATGTTTAGATTAAACACTGCTGAGTATAAGTCCTACCTCAATAATTGTACATTATTACAATTTATTGTTAATCTTATTATCATTCAGCATCATTCGTATTATTTGTATATTTGCATTAATTAGGGGTCGTTCACATATTACGTAATCAGCTGAGGGGGAAGGGGGTTTCCGAATGATTACGCTAGTGTAATTTTGACACAATAGCTATGTGTAAAACTGATTACGGAGGGGGGGGGGGGGGTTAAAATGTTCCAAAAAATGATTACGTAATATGTGAACGACCCCTTACTATAGATTCCCGTAAGCAAAACAAGCCCGGCCAAAGAACTCTGGCTATTCTCTATTAAGTTATTTCTGATAGTGAAAATATCAACAACACAATCCCTTCATCAGCCAGTAAACCACGTGCAAACCACGTGCAAACCACGTGCAAACCACGTACAAACCACGTGTCCTCACTCCTCAACTCCCATATTCTGAACTAATTTTTAGTTATTTACTAGTTGTAATCAGTAATAATTCGGTGATTAAATATTTCAACTCTGTCGACAGCTGTTCTGTAATTCCTCACCGCTCATTCTCTGAAACAAAAAATCTAAGTTTATTAGAATAATTAAAATATTTAGAATATGATCGCAAAAGTTGGAAAACTTTCTTTGGCTCGTCAAAAGTATTTTTTATAGCTTAACGAATTAATTAAATTTAAGATAAGTAGCGGCATCCATTTCCAACATTTATTCGTTTTGGTGTTTTATTACAACTATAGAACTATTGAGATGGTTCTATCAATTATTATCCAGGCATAACTAAAGTTGTCGCGTAAATACTACGATGAAATTTAAACTTTATTAGTGTATAACCTCTAAATCTAGTCGATGCACAAAATAGAAACCACTTGCATAATAACAATATGCCTGAGATCATACCGGTTACACACCAGGCACATACCGATAAAATACATTCTCTCATGATCAGTGTGTAACTGTCCATAATGTAAAAGTTGTTATCTTACTCTTGTTTATATACATTATACATGTTACATGGCGAGATCTCCATCCAAAAGGATTAGTCTGCGTCGACTGCGTCATTACTTTGTATTATACAACTTCGGCGGGTAACATTTCTACATCCCTTTCGGTCTGCAGCTAATCTTCTCATACAATCAATCGTGAGTCCATTACGATCCAATCTCTGCTCAGCATCCTCAATGAATACATCATTTAAGCTCTTCCTAGGCCTGCCTCTTGATCTCCTCCCATGCTTGGGTTTCCATTCAAGTAAATAGTTGGGCAACCGATCTTCAGGCATTCTACTGACATGTCCAAACCAACGCAGCCGTTTTGTTGTTATTATGTCAGCAAGGGCAGTTATTGATGCCCTTCTTAAAACATCCTCATTACTTACTCGATGGAACCACCTCACTCTCAGGATTCTTCTTAAGCAGTACTGATGGAAAGACTCCAATCTTCTTGTCTGCACTTAAGTCGTGTTCCATATCTCACATCCATAGGTCAGAATGGTAAGAACAGCTGCGATGTAGATTCGCACTTTGTTGTTAATGCCTATGTTCTTATTCTTCCAAATGTTGTTGAGTTGGTTAAAAGCGCCGGTTGCTTTTCCAATCCTGACACTTATTTCTTTATCAATCTTGCCATCTGATGGAATTTTGGCACCCAAATAAGTGAATTGAGCGACCTGCTTTGCAGAGTTTCCATCGACAGTTATATCTATGGTCCTATTCTCTGGGAGTGGGTGCTGCGATGTATCTTTCCAAATGACCACTTTTGTTTACGCTAATATAATGCATTAAATAGGGGTGCAATAACTAGGAGGGAGATAACTATTGTTATACCAGGCACATAGCGATAAAATACAGTACATACCGATAAGAAGATGGTGAGAACATCATGTGACAGGGAGTCACGTGACGCATTCTTCTCCACGATCTCACTAAGATTACTCAGCTGAGTTTCATCTTCCAGATTAGGAGTCCAGATCTTAACACAATGCTCTAAACCAGAACTCGCTATCATCGGACTGAAATGGAGGAATGGTAGGAATATTAGGAATGTTAGGAATATTAGGAATGGAGGAATGTTAGGAATATTATAAATGTTAGGAATATTAGGAATGTTAGGAATGGTATGAATATTAGGAATGGCAGGAATGGTAGGAATATTAGAAATGTTAGGAATGGTAGGAATGGTAGGAATGGTAGGAATGGTAGGAATGGTAGGAATATTATAAATGTTAGGAATATTAGGAATGTTAGGAATGGTATGAATATTAGGAATGGCAGGAATGGTAGGAATATTAGAAATGTTAGGAATGGTAGGAATGGTAGGAATATTAGGAATGTTAGGAATATTAGGAATGGTAGGAATATTATAAATGTTAGGAATATTAGCAATGTTAGGAATGTAAGGAATGGTAGGAATATTAGAAATGTTAGGAATGTTAGGAATGGTAGAAATGTTAGGAATGGTAGGAATATTAGGAATGGTAGGAATGGTAGGAATATTAGAAATTTTAGGAATGGTAGGAATTTGAGGAATGGTAGGAATATTAGGAATGGTAGGAATGTTAGGAATGGTAGGAATGTTAGGAATGGTAGGAATATTAGGAATGGTAGGAATGTTAAGAATGGTAGGATATTAGGAATGTTAGGAATATTAGGAATGGAGGAATGTTAGGAATATTAGAAATGGTAGGAATGTTAGGAATGGTGGGAATGTTAGGAATGGTGGGAATGTTAGGAATGTTAGGAATGTTAGGAATTGTAGGAATGGTAGGAATGTTAGGAATGGTAGGAATGTTAAGAATGGTAGGAATGGTAGTTATTCAGATGCTCTATTACTTGATTTTATTAACATAATACACACCTGTAAGGGTTAAACTCGAGGACGTTAACTATACCATCCTCCTCCCCTACTAGACACTGTACTATGTCCTCTGTTGTTGTGTTCCACAGAAATATATGCCCGCAATCACTGCCTATACAATATCAATTAGTATCGAATTATTAATTTGGGCAAAATTTACATGTCCTAAAGTCACAATTAACACAACTTAGATTCAAGATGATATGCAGGTACCACCCGTATTCACACTCAGACCTGAGTTTAGTCATTTTCCGATACGAGATTGGGGACGGGTTCTATAAACAAACAAACATATGTAAAACTCATTATAAATCAAGATAATCAGTAAAACTAAAATGCAAGATTCTCCCTGAAGTGTAACTAACCTGACATGACATACTCAGAGTTGAGCCCGTAGAAGTTGACTCCTTTAACTGTGTCATGATTTCGGTGTCCCGTGTACTTGTGCTTGTACTCCGTGTTATCGTGCGTGTTGTACAGATATATCGTGTCGTTGTTGTAACTTACTATCAGTGAACTTCCTGAGGTGGTGAATATGACCATATTAGGTCATAACGTGACAAGATCCCTGACATCAGGTGGGCACGTGATATTGCGAAGCGTAAGATGTAAAGTGTTTTGGTGGTTGTTATTGTTCTACTGAGCTCCCTGAATAATGTGATATTGTTAGAGGTGAACGTGAAAAACTGACCATTGTAATTTAAACTGACTGTTGTAATTGAACTTGTAATTGAAACTGAACGATGTAATTGAACTTATTATTTAAACTGACCGATATAATTGAACGTGTAGTGTAAAAACTGACCGTTGTAATTGAACTTATTATTTAAACTGACCGATATATTTGAACGTGTAATTTAAAAACTGACCGTTGTAATTGAACTTGCAGCAGGTTCCGGTGTCTAACTCAGCGTGATCCTCAGTCTCATCGTCACTGTCCTCTTCTTGCGAGAGCGGATTGTAGATGAGAGCCGGGGTAGCTGGGTTTCTGAGGTCGTGTAACCAGGTCTCAGTTGAAACCTGCGATGATGACGTCATGATATTTTACCATGACATCATACCATGACATCATAGTATTGTACCAGTCGACAGCTGCTTTTAACCTTACCAGTATATGTAGCCGCGCACTTTAACAACCCTAAACACCAAAGCCCGAAGAAACAAATACTCTAGATTTTTGCCATATTTTTCATAAGAACTGCCCATTTTCCCAGCCCACAAACCCCAGAGAGTATGATGTAGTTATTGTAGTCCGTATCAATAGAGTACAATGCTTTGTCTTGCTCAACAATCACATTACTCTTGTCTGTCCGCATGTCCGTCTGTGCAACACAGCCATCCTCGCCTGCACTCAGCACTTCGTTTCTGCAGGGAAGCACGAGGCGTAACTTTTATTTTTTATGTATAACAAACAGGGGTTCAGTATTTTCTTTTTCAAAGTTTGGTCGCCAATTGTTTGTCTCGATTTTACACGGTCTATTCTTAAAATTGGAATGACACGTAATTTAAAAGGACAGCAAAAGCCGCGGTAAATCGGGGTTTTTATTGTTTACATTAAATTTTATTGTTTACATTATCATGTATGATAATGCATGTTTAGTCCCATTTGGGGTAAGGAAATCGGGGTTTGCCGTTTATGATAAATCGGTGCGCAGTAAATCTGTATGCTGTTTTGTAATTTTGATCAGCAATCTGGGGGGGGGGGGGGGGGGGGGGGGGGGATAGCCCAACCAAAAATAGCCCAACCAAAAATAGTTCAAGAATTTCAAAATTGAACAAAAATTTAAAAATATTGGTCAAGGAGCAAACCTGTTGTTGACACATAGCTTGTGAGTTGCTCCGGAGTGCTTAGTAAGTTCCCGCTCTGTTACCCGGTCCCCTGAACTGATGTGGTAGTGTCTTACACTGCCGTCACGTGCTGCTGATACCATCTCGTTCTCTACATTAGGCACCTGGAAAAGTGATGACGTCATAACATAATGATGACGTCATCACAGAGTAAATACGTCATGACAGATTGATAAGGGGGTACGCCAGAACACAAACTCACATATTTTGTCTGGAAGATATTGCTAAAGTGTCCCGTTCTGTGAGTAAGAATAGTTTTACCCTCCACAATATCTGTCATACAGATGCACGTGTCATCACTTCCACTAATCACTCTGTCCCCTGAGGTTAAACTGGGGTCACGTGGTTAGATAAGGGTCACGAGGTTAGATAAGGGTCACGTGGTTAGATAAGGGTCACCAGGTTAGATAAGGGTCACGTGGTTAGATAAGGGTCACGTGGTTGGATAAGGGTCATGTGGTTAGATAAGGGTCACGTGGTTGGATAAGGGTCACGAGGTTAGATAAGGGTCACGTGGTTAGATAAGGGTCACGTGGTTTGATAAGGGTCACGTGGTTAGATAAGGGTCACGTGGTTAGATAAGGGTCACGTGGTTAGATAAGGGTCACGAGGTTAGATAAGGGTCACGTGGTTACATAAGGGTCACGTGGTTAGATAAGGGTCACGTGGTTAGATAAGGGTCACGAGGTTAGATAATGGTCACGTGGTTAGATAAGGGTCACGAGGTTAGATAAGGGTCACGTGGTTAGATAAGGGTCACGTGGTTAGATACGGGTCACGAGGTTAGATAAGGGTCACGTGGTTAGATAAGGGTCACGTGATGTAGTGTATAATACCTGTGTGGTTGAAGGAGAGTGAGTTAACACACCCATCATGACACTGCAACTCGGTGTGAAGTCCGAACCTCTTGATAAAACCCAGACTACTGATACATTCCTTCTGGAGCCGGCTCTTATTGCCTGGGGTGGGGAAATTGATAAGCGATCACTTAGAGGAATCATAAAGCAGAGGTCATTACAGGAGTGAATTTATCTGGATTAAGCTTTGGAAGAAACTAAGTGATGGAAACACTGGTATTTTTGAATAAAATGGTCAGTACCTATAAGTTCGTTGAGACTGCGTTCATAAAGAAGTTTGTGAATCATGGCAACTATGGAGTCGGGAAATCAATCACCGAAAATAAGTCGGTCATTCCTGGGACTATCATGGCTGAAGTCGAAAAAAATTAACTAAGTTAAATTAATGAGATGAAACAGACGTAACCTCTCAGCAAAATCGGTCAATATAAAAAGCACAATTTTACTATTTACGAGTATCAAGCAATTATCAGATTCTATTTTGTGAGATCAGATGGATTTAGATGAATTGGGATGTATAATGAACCTAAGGTTTAAACTTCTCACAATAAAACCACTTTATTCGATTTTAGCAATTTTCGTAAAAACTAGGTTACATCCAACAACGCCGTTGGAGACTTGCAAGTAAAAAAAGGAATGTAGCATAACATTTTTTAGGTACAGAACATTTTAAATGATGATACTGAAATATTTATTTCAATATTATACATATGAGACAAATAATTGATAATATTAAATGACTATTTTACTAAAACTTTTTTAACAAACGATCCGTCCTGAAACTGGCGATCAATCAACAAATCATAGTAGTGGTAATTAAATCTGCAATTAATAGTTCTTTTCGCCCAAAATAAATTACAAGCAGATGATAAATCATGTAGTAATCTGGTCATGCAGGTGATATTGACAATATTATTATACTCTAGCTCTCGTCCAGTTTCTACTTGTTAAACTACTGAGGGAGGGAGGGATCACATATTACCTCAGTATTCGGGGAGCTGGAGAGGGGTCTCGAAATGCATTGACGGTAAATTTCTGTCAAAAGGGGTCTGAAAAGGGCAAAAAATCTGACGTAATATGTGAATGGTTCCTTATCACAAGAGAGAATAATAATGGTAAACTCATAACAAGCAAAGAAGATGGACAGTCTTCACGCACAGCGACAAATTGAACAAAAAATCCACCAAAAAAAGCGATAACATAATATTACAGGACATTGGGGATACAATATAAGTTCAACAATGAAGTCTATATGTTGTAGTGTTGCACTACATATTGTACTACATGTTGCACTACATCTTGCACTACATGTTGTAAGGAGGGAGGATTAACCGTTGGCTGACTGACCGTTTAGCAGAGTTGTATCGAATAACACCGAAAAGCATGGTAACGATACCTGGGGAGAAGGGTGTGAATGTAGAATTGAATTTTTTTCTTCGACAAATTTTTGTTTTCTTCGAATGTCTGAACTTCAGTTTCCTTTGAAGGTGATTAACCACCCTACGCGCGTGGGGTGGACTCCTGGGGTGGACTTTTATTCAGCGCGTATTTTGTAGCCTGTTCAACTTGACGTTTTGAATCGTTACTATCTCAATGTCACAGATACATAGAATGTGAGGTGATCATCTTAAAGAGAAACGTCTCAGCTTTCACCTGGTGTAAAGTTTATCTTTGTTCTCAAAATATAGCTCGCTCAGTGTGCAACAGAAGTTGACATTACAATAACCATGTCCGCGACCGGTCGTCAGATACCGGAGTCTTGCACAAAATTGGGTCCCTAAATTAAAATTTTATGACACAGTTACGATGAACTAGTGTCTAGGGAAACATTTGGTGAAAGTTTCAACTCTCTACTATAAAAATAGCTATAGTTATTGAAGATAAACCGTGAGAAAATTCCTCTTGTCGGGATCGACGCTATCAGAACATCCCTTCTGTACCACGTGACAACGATTAGAGCGTCACGTGGCCGTCACGTGACACAAGTGCGCGCATCTGGTCGACCTTTCTCATGGGGGGGGGGGGGGGGGGGGAATGCAACGTCAATTAATGTCAATTAATGTCAATTAATGTCAATTAATGTCAATTAATGTCAATTAATGTCAATGTCAGTTTTGCAAAATTTTGGAATACTGACATTAATTGACACGATATTTTTCGACCAGAGATTATGTAGTTCTACCATATTTTTAGCACTTTAGAACGTTTATATCATCAATTTATTCACTACTATCACATATGGAAATGTGAAATGTGAAAAAAATTCAGATCATTAAACAATAAAACTAAAATAATACGGTTTCCCGAAATTTAATTTTCTTAAATGAGCGTGGCCATCCAAGGGCGCGGTTCTCAACATCATCAGAACTTAAAACCCACATTAAACGAAATGCCTTCATGACATTTATATTTGAATAACGAATCTTAAACAGCTAACATTACTCCTTCATACTAAAAAAGCCGATTTTAGATATTTTACCTGTATAAGAAACCAATAAAATATGGGCGTGGCCGATGGGGACCGAAGATGGAAGAGTTGGAAGCTGAAATTTTTTTGGTGGTCTTCGAACCTAAGGATCAACAGATAAGAACATACTCATAATTATTCAAGGACATTTTGTTTTTTTGAACCGGTCTAACTTACATAGACGTGAATATCTTCAATATTTATCGAATAATGATAATCTCAAATTTCAAGACATATTAATGTCAATTAATGTCAATTAATGTCAATTAATGTCAATTAATGTCAATTAATGTCAATTAATGTCAATGTCAGTTTGGGCTTTTTATGGAATACTGACATTAATTGACGTTGCATTCCCCCCCTCATGGGAAATATTGATTGCCTGATCGATCTCCTGGGAAATCCTGATTGCTACGGAAAGGGCTGACAACCACTGTTATTTTCGTTCCTCAATTTCCAGTTCACTTGCTCAGTGCTGTCAGTTGTTTTTTGTTTGCCCTGCTAAATAAATTTCACTCCGTCATAATCCCCTACTCCCCTATCCAATGAACTGTTTCTGTTACAGCTGCCATTCTGTTGACTTGACCCTAACTTAGTCTTATCATTGTCACTTGATAACTTTATCCGTGTGCACTTTCTCGAAACTCGCTTATCTTTGTCAAGACTCAGCTTATCTCAGATCTAAATGTTGCCTTAACAGACTTACTGGTCACTGCACTGGGCCCTCCTTTAAATGCAAATATCATATGAGCAGCCGATCGATTTATTGCTTGAACTGTGCATCCTTTTTTTCAAATACATAAGGTCAATTTTTCTATCGTGAAACTTAGTCACTGAAAGTGAAGACAACGCAATCTGGCTGTGCCGGTTCCCCTCTGCCTAGATCACTTAGAATATCCATAGTTAGCAATACTTTAATCGTTTAATGCAGCGATATAGCCAGTTATTAATGCCACATTGTAGATTTTAGCCTGTTCCAATCATCCTTATATCGAGTTAATGAAATTTATGAAATTGCCTACCGTTCAAATCGCTCTCTGTTGTTAGCACCACACTGATTAACTACAATGTTCCAATTTTTTAGAATTATGTCCGACATAATTCTAATTTTTGCTGTTACAGGAGATAGTTATGGTATAATGGCACGCAGGAATAAGTCATCCCTGTCCTCCAAAAAGCACATGAAAAGGTACTTGGTAAGCCATGTCTTTTCCAATATCAAATCCAATGTATCACAATCTGTGGACTTTTTACTCAAAAACTAGATTGATTAATTGATAATTCATTGCTGATTGTTCACGCGCCCAGTATGGAAGTATAAAAATGGTAATCCGCATACTCCAGGTTCAAGAATTGAAGCAATCTCAAGAGAAAAGAAGGGAATCTGGATCCTTCGTCGGATCGTCACAGAGCTTAGAGGGGAGCTCTACGCTTCACTGGCCATGCAAAGCAGGGAGAGTGACGGAGGCGGAGGCACTGCTGGCTGCTGGAGCGGACATTAACAAGCTGGACAGAGCGCAGTTGAACCCTTTCATGGACGCGATCAACTCAGGTAAATCATTTGACCGCCTTAACAATATGGGTTTATCTAACATTGGTAATAGTAGCAAGAGGTTTTAGTCATGCGTTTGATTACAGCACAGTGTGAAACCCTGAAGCATACGTCGAGCTCTAAACTCTGTTTTGTCTGATAATCAATTATTTGAATATTGAAGGATTAAATTTGGTAACTTGATGATCACATAATTAACAGGACAGGTCGACTGTGCTAGATGGCTGCTGAGGCAAGACGGTTGAAAGCTCCAGCCCGAGATATGGTCGTTTTGTAGGGAGAGGGGGCTAGAGTCAGTGCTAACAGCTTAACAGAAGGTAAAATCCTGAACTTTTGTTCATTGATTCTTTGAATCAATGAACAGATTCAAAGAATCAATGAACAATCGTTCAGATGTAAAAATTATTTATTCACTATTTTGCATTACATTTAGTTACAGGACTGACATGCGACATCCGTCGTTGACCTTTGTCTTTATTTCAGCAAGGTACGGAGAGCGATCCATGGCTGTCCCGATAGACCCACTCAGACTCCTGCCGGAAGATACTCCTCCGGTTGATCCAGATGAGACAGTTCTAGCAGATGATCAGTTACAGACTGAAGAACATATCCCACAGATCAATGCGTCAACATCTGCAAATGAAGGTACTTCAATCTGCTCTTCTTGTATATGTCTTTGTGCCTGCGTCTGTGATTGTACTGAAGTGTACTCTGTGTGTTTGTGCATGTGTCTGTCTTTGTATCGAGTGTGTGTCTCTGATTGTACTGCGTGTGTCTGTAATTGTAATGTAGTGTACTGAAGTGAACTATGTGTGTTTATGTGTGTGTGTCTGTGTGTGTATGTGTCTGTGTGTGTATGTGTCTGTGTGTGTATGTGTCTGTGTGTGTATGTGTCTGTGTGTAACTGTGTCTGTCTGTGTGTCCGTCTGTGTCTGTGTGTGTCTGTGTTTATGCTGTGTCTGTGTGTCTATGTCTGTATGTGTTTGTGGGTGTGTGTATGAAGGTACTTCAATCTGCTCTTCTTGTATATGTCTTTGTGCCTGCGTCTGTGATTGTACTGAAGTGTACTCTGTGTGTTTGTGCATGTGTCTGTCTTTGTATCGAGTGTGTGTCTCTGATTGTACTGCGTGTGTCTGTAATTGTAATGTAGTGTACTGAAGTGAACTATGTGTGTTTATGTGTGTGTGTCTGTGTGTGTATGTGTCTGTGTGTGTATGTGTCTGTGTGTGTATGTGTCTGTGTGTGTATGTGTCTGTGTGTAACTGTGTCTGTCTGTGCGTCCGTCTGTGTCTGTGTGTGTCTGTGTTTATGCTGTGTCTGTGTGTCTATGTCTGTATGTGTTTGTGGGTGTATGTCTGTCTGTCTGTCTGTCTGTCTGTCTGTCTGTCTGTCTGTCTGTGTGTGTGTGTGTGTCTGTCTGTCTGTCTGTCTGTCTGTCTGTCTGTCTGTCTGTCTGTCTGTCTGTCTGTCTGTCTGTCTGTCGGTCGGTCGGTCGGTCGGTCGGTCGGTCGGTCGGTCGGTCGGTCGGTCGGTCGGTCGGTCGGTCGGTCGGTCGGTCGGTCGGTCGGTCGGTCGGTCGGTCGGTCGGTCGGTCGGTCGGTCGGTCGGTCGGTCGGTCGGTCGGTCGGTCGGTCGGTCGGTCGGTCGGTCGGTCGGTCGGTCGGTCGGTCGGTCGGTCGGTCGGTCGGTCGGTCGGTCGGTCGGTCGGTCGGTCGGTCGGTCGGTCGGTCGGTCGGTCGGTCGGTCGGTCGGTCGGTCGGTCGGTCGGTCGGTCGGTCGGTCGGTCGGTCGGTCGGTCGGTCGGTCGGTCGGTCGGTCGGTCGGTCGGTCGGTCGGTCGGTCGGTCGGTCGGTCGGTCGGTCGGTCGGTCGGTCGGTCGGTCGGTCGGTCGGTCGGTCGGTCGGTCGGTCGGTCGGTCGGTCTGTCTGTCTGTCTGTCTGTCTGTCTGTCTTCTGTCTGTCTGTCTTCTGTCTGTCTGTCTGTCTGTCTGTCTGTCTGTCTGTCTGTCTGTCTGTCTGTCTGTCTGTCTGTGTGTGTGTGTGTGTGTGTGTGTGTGTGTGCGTGTGTGTGTGTGTGTGTGTGTGCGTGTGTGTGTGTGTGTGTGTGCGTGTGTGTGTGTGTTCTTTCATAGAAGTTGTTATTTCCAAGATACGAAGTTCGAAAAGCTAGCATTTAGTAATAGACGAATTTTGCAGCTGATATCAGAATCGAAATGATGATGGTACTACACGAGATGCTCATGGAAAAGGTATCAGTTTGCTTTTCTCCTCCCACGAGCAGTACAAAGTGTGGGTTCAACTTTAATCTGATAGAAGATATCGTATGCGGAACCCAAGCCCGGCTATGTCTGTACATAATAACGAAAGAAACCGGTAAGTTTTTAATCATGTAAATGTTCGGCCGAACGTTTGCTTTCATTTTAGACTAGTGACGAAAATCAACAATCGTTTGCCAGTTTGGTTAGTAAAATCGACAAAAAATAGTCCATTCCCCAAGGCCATGATATTCGAATTCTGCCCGTTGAAATCGGCCACTCTGATTTTTATCATTGAACTTTGCATTGATGACATGTTCATTCTCTACAGGTTATGCTGCGAGGGCGTTTAGCTCGATAGATGTTGAAAATGCCCACAGCATTATAAATCATTTTATCACCGCCGAGGGGTCCAAAACTCCTCAATCGAAGAGCTTAGTAGACATGTCAGCAACCTACAGAGACTTCAAATTCTCAGAAAAAACCTCTCTAGGACGGTAATACATTAACTTGTTTAGTTAATAAATTTAATAAGTAGATTTTGAGTGATGATTACTCAATACTGATATCGAGGTACCATAAAAAGGGTATATAAACTTATCACTTATGCTTATATGCTTATACTCTTATACTATCAATGAATATCAAATCGCCTTCTCTAGTTATCAAACCCAACATAAATTAAATCTCGGCCTACAAGGACTATTCGATATTTACAACAGACCGAGTGAATGTCTCAATCTTTTCAGGAAGCTTTATACTCCGACATCCACAATTTACCACGCCCCTGAGATCGACAAAGGTCTTTCTGATAGATTGACTTCCAGCCAATTCGATCTATCGAAGCCGAGTGGGAAGAACAAAGAACTGAAACCCATGGTCGCAACGATGCTCCTCGCGGACAAGGGAGAGTTAGGGCCATCGGTGGTCACAAGACTGCAGAATATTTATTTTTTTAAGCGTTGAGGTTGTCACGAAAGCGTACTGTAACGGGACTGTATCAGATTTGAGTGATTTGATTTTGTGATTCGCAGTTCACGTGATTTTATTGTGATCTTAGACTGTAAAAACTATAAAGGTTCAAGTTGAACTATCGTCGCCATGATTATGTATTTTGGAACTGTTCACGTTGAAATTGCTTCGTTAATCAGCAGTCTTCCTTGGTTACCTTCTACTGTGTAATGCAGCTACGATCAACGATACTTAGCTAGTACATTCATAGTAACTGCACTGAGAAGAGTAAAAAATTTGAGCTTTGACGGAATAACATTTCCTTGTTTTTAGATACGGTTACTATTCTAGTGAGGGGTTCATAGCTGACCATTAAGGTCTTACTCACAATAATTTGTGCTCTGATATTGGCCGTACTGACTGCTGTTGAAAAAGCCACGCCATCAGATGCGCGTCACGAGAGTCCACCCCAGTAGACCCCACTACGTACAAAATTTGAAATTTTCCCAAAAACTTCTGACTAAGCTAGTTTGTTTTCAATAACTTTTGCAATATTAACAGTAGACCCTTCAAATTTTCACCAAATGTTTCCCTAGACACTAGTTCATCGTAACTGTGTCATAAAATTTTAATTTAGGGACCCAATTTTGTGCAAGACTCCGGTATCTGACGACCGGTCGCGGACGTGGTTATTGTAATGTCAACTTCTGTTGCACACTGAGCGAGCTATATTTTGAGAACAAAGATAAACTTTACACCAGGTGAAAGCTGAGACGTTTCTCTTTAAGATGATCACCTCACATTCTGTGTATCTGTGACATTGAGATAGTAACGATTCAAAACGTCAAGTTGAACAGGCTACAAAATACGCGCTGAATAAAAGTCCACCCCAGGAGTCCACCCCACGCGCGTAGGGTGTTAACGGAATTCGACCTCCATTATAATTCAATAAATGTTGATTAATTTATTTATAACACCTCGTTGGCAGCTGCAACACAGCCTAACCTACTCACGTGACGTCACTAACCTACTCACGTGACGTCACTAACCTACTCACGTGACGTCACTAACCTACTCACGTGACGTCACTAACCTACTCACGTGACGTCACTAACCTACTCACGTGACGTCACTAACCTACTCGCGTGACGTCACTAACCTACTCACGTGACGTCACTAACCTACTCACGTGACGTCACTAACCTACTCACGTGACGTCACTAACCTACTCACGTGACGTCACTAACCTACTCACGTGACGTCACTAACCTACTCACGTATCGTCACTAACCTACTCACGTGACGTCACTAACCTACTCACGTGACGTCACTAACCTACTCACGTGACGTCACTAACCTACTCACGTGACGTCGCTAACCTACTCACGTGACGTCACTAACCTACTCACGTGACGTCACTAACCTACTCACGTGACGTCACTAACCTACTCACGTGACGTCACTAACCTACTCACGTGACGTCACTAACCTACTCACGTGACTTACCTATTGCCATGAGAGCAAGAAACTGAAACTCATGAATTTCCAAATACTCTCTAGCTGCCACCATTTGGGGGTTCACAAACGAGCATCTCTGAGGAAGTGAGATTGCTTTACTTAAACAAGTTTTCATTGGTTTCTGTTGAGTTAATTAATACGACATAATGCCTACCGAAAATAAAGTTCATGTATATTGTATATATATATACATTATATAGGTTAACTAAGTTAATACAAGTTTGATTAAGCCACTGTAACTTTGATTACAATCAAAAGTACAGTAGCTTACACATGTATATGTGTAGATTAGCTAAAGTAGATAATTTATTGTTACCTTGATAATGAGGAGCATCTTGACAAGGTTGAGGCCAATACCACTGATAGCGCCACATCGTGCAGCAACCGAAGTGAAAAGACAACAACACACCACATAGCCTATCCAGTTGAACAGGAAACAAACTGAAACACGGTTATTATGGATATGGGGGTAGCGTAACTAAGCCTTACTGTGCTTATTATATATTTCCGTGTCTGATTATTAGGAACCGGCCGGGGTAGGCTTTTAGGTTTTCCGAATTCTTTTAAAAAAACGTTTTTCTGGAAACCACTTTTCTCCACGTTTCATGCTACCCTGTTCATTATTAGCTGAAAGTATTTTTTCGGTTTTCCGAAGTCCGCATCTACCGCTCGATACACAATTTTGGACTCTAGGCTTCCCCTTGTAAATTGTAATGCGATCTCAGAAGGCAGGCCTCCCTTTTGCAACACGAGCTCGGAACTGTGAGCTTACATATAATCGACTTCGAGAATGACTCGGACCAAAACTTTTATAAGTCAAAATTTTTGGCATTATGGAAAACTAATTCGAAAAAAACCGTTTAGTTTTTTGAATTCATTTTCCTTAATGCCGAAAATTGGATCAGCTAATCCTCATCCTGGACATTTATATAATTACATAAACATAACGTAAAATATTTACAGCAAATACTTAGCATTTCAAGTCTTGGAATGATAAAAACGAGACATTTTACAGTTCTGAGTTTATTAATCACTGTAACTATCACGATTTCCCAGAGCTTCAGTCACATTAGCAGTGGAAAAGCTCGAAAAAGCAGTCATGGCGTGATATTTTCTTATCGTTAAAACGTGACATCATGATTGCTACCTGCCAGCTAAAACACATACCAAACGTAAAAAACAAATCGGTCATCTTGCCTTCAATTGATCTGTTCTCGGAATTTAAGAATTCGCGGAACTTTAGGACCCAAAACTAAGCAGTTTTGACTCCGAATCTCCTCTGGTAACCAGAGATCTGTGAGTCATGATGTCATAATGATGTCATAATGATGTCATAATGTGAGGTACGGGAAATAAAAATAAAAAATGTAAAAAAGGAATGAGTGCGGCCGCGGTCGGTCCAAATCAGCTGATAGTGATATTGTTTAGATAACCAAGTAAGCATCTTTAGTCTCTACCCTACAGCCCGGCCTGGAAACTGCCGGTATATGTTTATCTAAAAGAGGAGAAGTGATCAGCCGTCTAGGAAGCATGGCTTTCCTAGTTTATATTGATTTGGAACAACCTTAATACATTTCTTGAATTTTGTAGTGAATAATGTTTTATAACAGTCTTTACCAATACATACTTCATTTTGCACACTTAAAAAGCAACATTTAATTCAGTAAATTGTCTAGACCTTCAATTTCGGCAGATCAATTTCCCGGATATTGCTGGCATATGAGTAGAAAAAATTTCCATGAATATGCCCTTCACCAAAATCTCCAATTGTCCTTCTATTCACAGATTTCTACGATTAATGTAAAAAATTCCGAGTATCGAGTGGAGCTTACTGGCGTGAGTTCCCGAATGATAATGGTTTCTATAGAATGTATATAAAAAGAACTTGTCTAAGTGGTAGTAATAGTAAAAACTAAAGTGCGGACACTGATCTTGGCAGGGAAGTTCATGGAATTATAAATCATTTAAGGACTTATAAAGCAAACTGTCTATAATTATAATAGTCAACATTTGACGAAAACTATGCATTTCAAGATTTTAGAAATACATTTTTTTGAAGAAATATCTGGTAAAAATCCGGCAAAATTTTCGGAAAGCCGAATTTTATTGAAGCCGGAACCGGATTCAGCCGGATATCCGGTCGGTTCCTAGTCTTATATGACAGTTTTGATAAAAAGGTTCGAAAAATAAACAAACGAAATTAACAAATTGTCTAACTATTTTCTTACCAAGAAAACAAAGGATGAAAACAGAGTCACTACCAAGGTTCTCAACAGACAAGATCATATCAGAGCGGTTGAGCGCCTCGAATGTTCTGGGGCTCTCATGACAGTAGCTGGGATCCTGGTAACTGTATCCTTCCTCTTGTTGGTAGGGTGGCAAGTCTACCTTAAATAAAAACCTGGATTATTGATAGTAGTGATATTCTACCTTACACAGTTTGTGAAATAAAGACATGCGATTGTTTGGCGTAAAAGCAGGCCTGTCACCGCATTATCTGCAACATCTAGTTATAGTAATCACACAAAGTGCAATAGATGATAAGAAAATTAAGGGGTCGTTCACATATTACGTAATCATTTTTGGAACATTTTAACCCCCCCCCCCCCCCCCATCCGTAATCAGTTTTACACATAGCTATCAGTTATTGCGTCAAAATTACACTAGCGTAATCATTCGGACCCCCCCCCCCTCAGGTAATCACGTAATATGTGAACGACCCCTAATCAAGAATGAAAATACTTTTTTGGCAGGGAGGTCGTGATAAGCCGGCAGGTTATCAAACCCCGGGGTGTATGGGGGCGGGCCCCCTTCTTCGTCTAACTTCTTATCTGTCATTACATGACACCCTTTCCTAAGAGACAAACTGTTAGTTACTGAATGTGTGAAATGTTTGTAATTCTAAAAAAGAGTCGTGAAGAGCGGTCAATAATTAACTTGTATTTGTAAATGTGTTTAAAAGACACTTTTTGAGAGATTGAAAAACCAATTGGAGGTATTATGTTTATAAAGTTTTAGTGTAAATCAATTCATTCTTTACAGTTTATCAATGCTTTAATAAAATTCACGAGGTAAATTAATGCTAAATATAAGACTTTATATAATAAACGCTTATCTAGTATTCATTACATTATAAACATGTATCATGCATACACGGACATAAATAAAATTTAACTTCAAACGAATAAATTTGTAATGACAAAGACGATTACGATAGAGTTAAAGTAACTTATAAAATTTAGCTATACTTATACTGTCATAAAATAAAGAATTGGGGGGGGGGGGGGGGGGGGGGGGCACGAAGCAACTAAATTTTCACAATTGACCTAACAGTTCCTACCTATGTCAACAATTTCAACAATATCCTCTATTAGAAATATTACCGGAATCCATTAACTAGATTCAGTATGTAAGTTCACCCCCTAAATGACAAAAATACGTCTTACTTCTAAATTCGCAGATAAAATTTATCAAATAAATTTATAGAACAAAATAAATCTTTCAATGTATTCTGGGTAAAATTATCTTTATCCCGGTTGTTGCGACAAGTAAAAATGCTCTTATTAGGGAAAGGAGATTACTCGACGTTTCAATGTAACTACATCGTATTCATGATCTCAAATTATTTGTTATATAGTAGTGTTGAAAGTATTAAAACTTTTTAATACTTTCAACACTACTATATAACAAATAATTTGAGATCATGAATACGATGCAGTTACATTGAAACGTCGAGTAATCTCCTTTCCCTAATAAGAGCATTTTTACTTGTCGCAACAACCGGGATAAAGATAATTTTACCCAGAATACATTACAACAATGCGACTCATAAATAATACTCCAATCCGGATTTTACACAAATCTTTCAATGAAATATAAACAAACTCCCGGAAATAAATTCATTTAAAATGTGGACTATTCTTAAGCCTTAATAATCATATGATTATGGTACAATAGTTTCCTATAAGTTTGTTATATATGATATAAGGGTGTAGTCATATCAAGCGAGCATATGACATGCGGTTGGTCTCTAAATCAAAACAATTTTTGAGTAAAAACTTATAAAATGTTGAAATTTATTGAGCAGTTTTTGAATGAATTTAGGTTGGCCTGAATTCCTTTACAGAAGGCCAGGGAATGCCGGAAATTTCCGATTGCCAATACTTTCTTCAAAAGGTTTGAAGGTAAACTTGCAGGAATCCAAGCTCAAGTGAAATGGAGCGGGCAGTTGTTCATCTCACAAACTAATGTATCGCTTCATGATTTCTTCTTTTCGAATATCTGCGTTGAGACTCCATCTGAAGTAGGACATCTGTTTAAGAGCAAGAATAATTAAGTTAATTAAATCAACGTAGAAAAACAAATAGGATAAACGGAAATTGTGCATATTTCATAAAGAGAAGTATAAACTGAATGGCTGGAATTTAACGTTAAGAACTGGAATGTAACTCCTGGTAGAAACCACACCCCTTTGTTAATGTAAACATGGCACAGTACCGCCTACAGAATATATGAATAATCGGTTAGGCGCTCTTGTTACAGCTAATTACAGTAGACTACTTAGCTGCAGCATGTATATTCAGCTATCATCTATACATGCTACACAACAATACAGAGTAATATGAGCAATGTTTCAGAGCTAATAATATACACACAAACGGTCGGGCGCACACATTATCGTCATGTAATACTTATCGAAATAAACAAATTACGATTTGCGCGAAAATAGATATAGTTTCATTGCAAGAAGGACTCAGCGCGCGACGTAAAACACAATTTTCACTGTGTCCAAATAGTGGATGCGTCGCTCTTGCAGATATCTGTCTAACCCTACTTATTGTACACAAATCACGCAATGCAGTATCACTAGCTCGTCTGTATGAACAATAATACACATTTACGAGATAGGACCATCCTTTCTTAGTACTATGGTCTAGAGTGAATTCATGAATATTTGCTGGTAACAAGGGGCCGTTCACTGTTCACATAAAACGTAATCAGCCAAGGGGAGGGGGGTTTCCAAATGCTTACGGTTGATTACGGGGGGGGGGGGGGCGGGGGGAGGCTGTTAAATACATAATCAAAGTTTTCTTTTTTACCCTCTAGAATAACAACAATTTGACAATATTTTAATTCAAATTCCGCTCAATTTCACTTTGATAGTGGTAAAATTTAGGAATGGATCGGGTATCCGGATGCTAAAGTAAGCAGTTTGGAAGGTGCTAGGCCGGATATCATAACAATGATTTCGAGTCATAATTATCAGGGTAGCGTGAAACGTATAGAGAAAAGTGTTTTCCAGGGGAAAAAGTCAAAAAGGGGGGGGGGGGGGGGGGGGGGGGGGGGGGATGGGCGGGGTCAGGCCATGATTACGTAATTTTGCTGTCAGGAGGGGAGGGCCTTGATTACTGTTAATTACGGAGGGGGGAGGGCCAGGGGGTAAAAATTGCTAAAATATTGATTACGTAATATGTGAAGGACCCCCAATGACAGGTCGCCGACAGATCTTGAGGGGAATGTTGAGAGTTACATCTCAATCTCTGCCTGGGACCTGAGCATACATTTATCCTGGTCCAACCAAAGGTAAACTTTACACGGAAAAATAGTGTTAGTGATATGTGATTAAACGTTACTTTGTAAATGTCAATATTTCGTATTCTGCACATTTTGTTAAAGGGGTTGATATAGAGATATAGTAATATTTGACGTCAAATTTCAGAGCAAACATATCTTTAGACATTTAGACATACATTTTCGGACGTGATTTCTTATGATAAATTGCAAGTGTCAAATAACATACACAATCCATTAGAACTTAAGAGGAAACCAATTCAATTTCCTTATCTTATAGGACATCAAATTAAAATGGAAAACAACTGAAATTGGTGTTAACTGTATTAGGAAACATCTGAATAATCAGAATATAAGACTTTGCAGGAGTGTATTCTACAATACAAATTTCATTTCATAACTGCAATATTTTATATTATATTATACAGTATACTGTATTCATAATCATGGTATCATATAACTGATGTATCAAGATAGGTTGTGGGTTTGGCAAACTTGTTCATGTCACACTGACTGAAATGTAACATTGAGTCATAATAATATCATAGATGTAATACTTTAGTTATGTCATGTATCTCATGTTGTCCTGTATTAACTATAAAAACCTAAAAACAGCTGACAACTATAGAGATTCCCAGTTGAGGAACTGTTTAATGTTTCTCTTTGAGTAATACTACGTGTAGGTCTTCACTCAAAGAAACAGCTTGCAGTGATTTAATAGAATCAGTAAAAACACGTACCAAATATTATGTGTAATATATATATATGTAATATGTATGATCAAGATGTCAAACAAAACGTGTATAATTGTACACTGTTACACTGAAACACGTACATTTACAGTTACATCTACATTTACACTATTGCACCAGTGCAACTCCTTCATAATTAACATAATAATAATAATATGTACTAGTATTATGTAAAATATATGTATACACACGCATGACAAATATCTACTCTGCTCTTCAACATATACCATACAAATTCTTCTCGCGGCTGAATGTCAAACTTTTAACGTCTTTGTAATCCAACACACTTGTACAGTTGTACATGACAAGGGTTTGTTTAATACTGTTTAACACTAAGATGTTGATAATATTTACATTATAATTTGCGTTTATTCAGGAATTTTGCCAGCACAATGTGTTAGATACAATTACAACGCTAGATGACTGTTATAGTCCAGGTTACTATACACCAGGCACACACATGTTCAATGTTTGTGGTATTATATAGCTACACACATGTACAATGTTTGTGGTATTATATAGCTACGATCAGCTGAATTCCTTGTCAGTCAGGAGGAAGTGAATGAGGATAGAACGTAAGAAAAGTGGGTGCGATTCTGAAACGGAAGAACAGAGTATAACTTTATTTAACTGAATGAGGATAGAACGTAAGAAAAGTGGGTGTGATTCTGTAACAGAGTATAACTTTACAACTGAATGAGGATAGAACGTAAGAAAAGTGGGTGTGATTCTGAAACAGAGTATAACTTTACAACTGAATGAGGATAGAACGTAAGAAAAGTGGGTGTGATTCTGAAACAGAGTATAACTTTATAACTGAATGAGGATAGAACGTAAGAAAAGTGGGTGTGATTCTGAAACAGAGTATAACTTTACAACTGAATGAGGATCGAACGTAAGAAAAGTGGGTGTGATTCTGAAACAGAGTATAACTTTACAACTGAATGAGGATAGAACGTAAGAAAAGTGGTGTGATTCTGAAACAGAGTATAACTTTACAACTGAATGAGGATAGAACGTAAGAAAAGTGGGTGTGATTCTGAAACAGAGTATAACTTTATAAAGTATAACTTTACAACTGGAGCATGAAGGCAGGTATTCCAAATATTAATTCTTTTATTTCTTTCGAAAACTACGCATCAGAATTCAGATCCTTTTCAATGACTAAGAAAACTTGCAAAAAATCTATTGCATCAAGCTAAAAGTTTCAGTTAAATTGTTTAATAGTTCAACAAAACAGTTAATTAATTAATTACTGAATTTAATGACTCACCCTCTTCGCTAGTAAACTTTATATCTCTGAAGGAACCACTGTCCACCTTATATTCGAGCCTGAAAGTCATTGAGTAACAACCTAAGCATAATGTCATAAGTTTTTATTTAGAAGTATAATACCAAGTCATTTGTTACAACAGTGCAGCGGTTATATTATATATTTGTTATACAGTGGATTTGTTACAACAGTGCAGCGGTTATATTATATATTTGTTATACAGTGGATTTGTTACAACAGTGCAGCGGTTATATTATATATTTGTTATACAGTGGATTTGTTACAACAGTGCAGCGGTTATATTATATATTTGTTATACAGTGGATTTGTTACAACAGTGCAGCGGTTATATTATATATTTGTTATACAGTGGATTTGTTACAACAGTGCAGCGGTTATATTATATATTTGTTATACAGTGGATTTGTTACAACAGTGCAGCGGTTATATTATATATTTGTTATACAGTGGATTTGTTACAACAGTGCAGCGGTTATATTATATATTTGTTATACAGTGGATTTGTTACAACAGTGCAGCGGTTATATTATATATTTGTTATACAGTGGATTTGTTATAACAGTGCAGCGGTTATATTATATATTTGTTATACAGTGGATTTGTTACAACAGTGCAGCGGTTATATTATATATTTGTTATACAGTGGATTTGTTATAAAGTTACAACAGTGCAGCGGTTATATTATATATTTGTTATACAGTGGATTTGTTACAACAGTGCAGCGGTTATATTATATATTTGTTATACAGTGGATTTGTTACAACAGTGCAGCGGTTATATTATATATTTGTTATACAGTGGATTTGTTACAACAGTGCAGCGGTTATATTATATATTTGTTATACAGTGGATTTGTTACAACAGTGCAGCGGTTATATTATATATTTGTTATACAGTGGATTTGTTATAACAGTGCAGCGGTTATATTATATATTTGTTATACAGTGGATTTGTTACAACAGTGCAGCGGTTATATTATATATTTGTTATACAGTGGATTTGTTATAACAGTGCAGCGGTTATATTATATATTTGTTATACAGTGGATTTGTTACAACAGTGCAGCGGTTATATTATATATTTGTTATACAGTGGATTTGTTATAACAGTGCAGCGGTTATATTATATATTTGTTATACAGTGGATTATCATGTGACATGTCTGCTGTGTTGCGCTCGTCACTGTTGAAAAAATGGTGCACAAAAGCTATGAAATGTGCTGCGTGTAACAGTTACCACGGCAACAGTAACTGTTACAGGAAATGTAAAGAAAAGAAAATAAACATCAAACATGTCTTTATCATTTGTATTTGCTTTAACACGTCTACGTTTTTGAACCTTTCATTCTTTACAATTCCTTTTCAGAGTGACTCGTTATATCTTTAGTGTGATATGTATTATAAATAATTAATTATTACAATTTTATATTATATTGAGTGGGTCAGCTTGCTTGTTTAAAGTTCTTTGTTGTTTTTCAGCCTTTGTGTTTTAACTTGAGTCGTCTGAGCTTGTTTGAACATTTTTTCGTTAAAGTTTTAGCTTTTGTATCAAATTTATAATTGTCTGATATTATTCAGCGGCCTAATACAGTTATAAGTTTATTCGAGAGGCAGAACGTTGTGGTAAAGATTTTTTTGGTGTTGAAACTAACTCTCCTGGTATCGTCCACCAAATTAAAATATTTTAAAAGAGAAATCACGTCGATACTGTAGGTCTATATTTATAAATTATCAGTTAAAAAGTGATAAATTATTGATGATAATGTCAGAATTGGAAAAATAACATCCTGGTGAGGCCAAGGGGACCATTTACAAAATTCTTTATTTTTTAAACGACATTAACGGTTTCTGAAGAAATAATGATACGTGATGATTGAATTTTAAAACTTCGATGATAGAATTGATAACAATGGATGCCATACCGCATTGGTAAACTTTCCTCTTAAACCTATATCAATTTGAATTTTATGAGAAACATAATTTGATCAAACCACCACGAAGTCGCCAGGGGTACTCTCCACTCACCATTTTCGTACGTCATATTTGTGTCTTTTGTAGGTTTTTATATTTTTCTATGATTGATGTAAATTTGTAAGGCGTTAGTGCCAAGTTTACTTCTGGTGAACTCTCCAAAGAAACAACAATAGTTAACCTGTGATTTGTCGATGACCAGGAATCTAAAAATCCGTGAGTAGTTTGACTAAACCGAAAAATTGTTATTTATATATAATATATTTTGATCAAATTACAAAACAAACTCTGGTAATGTACTTCTTGGTTGAATGTCAGAATTTGAGAATTTGGTTTTTATGTGTACTAAGATTCTTCACAAACTCTGGCTAATCATACATGATTTAAATCTGGCGAGGAGAGTGGAAACCATGATATTATAATTTTTACCAAGCAAATTATTTGGGATTCAAAACAAGCTGAGAATAACTCACGTGTTCTTAAACTCGATGGGTAAGACCTGACCATGATGTACAAACTGATACTGTCGGCGCAGCTGCAGACATATCTCTATCTTCTTACTGAAACATTATTGTAATTAATGGTAATTCATCATAATATTTAATACTATGATTATTTCAAATTAAATATTTTAAACATATTATTATAATTCACAATTTCACATACGTAATATAGTAATATAATATAACTATCATTAAACCGTTTTTACAATGTCTTTTTAAATATCATATTATTAAATATTTAAATTATTATGACCCTTTATATTTTAAATAATATTATGGCAATTCTACTTCCTCAGGTTTTCCCACCACACTGTCTAATCAATTTGCTTGTTAGTATGGGAAACGTGGCTAGCAAATACCGCTGAACAACAAATTTAAAAAATATGTTTAACATTCTTATCATTCCTTTGATCTAATTTGACAACGAGTTCACAAACAGGAACTTAAAGTTTAAAACTTCCAAAAACATCCCTCACTTAGTCTGCTTTCTGGTCGAGTGATTTTAAGGGGCACACAAAGTTTTAACTTTTTGTTGTGTTCCACTATTCCTTTTACAGGTTTACTGTGTACAGCAAGTCATGGCACCTGACCCACTAACATTCCTTCTAAGTTGTATGTATACCAATAATTAAGTTGAACTCTACTAGGCACGTGTCTACGATTTAGAAGATAACTATGCATGATCAGCGCGATTCTCAGACCTCGATTAGAGAACGCCAAATAACAAGTACTCGCTGGTAACAGGTGTTTGGTATTCAGACATGTAATCTAGCAATAAGAGTATGTACTTAGCTTTAGTTAGTGCTCTCTCATACTTGTTCTTCCTGAGCCTACAATAACATAAGTACAATCCTTCAGTTGTTTTGGTGAGTGCAGTTTTTTGGCTTCTGATATTTTATACTCGTCAATAAAATGATACCTACCCTAATTAAAACGTATTTTCATCTCAACGTATTTTCATCTCAGTTTGAGACAAGAGTATGATCCCCCCCCCCCCCCCCCCCCCCCCCCCCCGTGATGGTATGTACCATTTAAGAGATAGTTTTCTATCCTAAAATTGTTTCCAAAACAACACATCTGCGTCCTTGATACAGGTATGTTTGAATTGCGTAACGTATTACATCACGTATTGTGTACTTATTGTCGTATATTTAACAACACTTAAGAATTAGACCTATCTCCACGTAGATACATTTTGTTAGTTAAAACCTTGATTCACAATAAATTGTGGCAGCATTAGTGGCTGTGACGTACTATAAGTACCTATTATCATTTATAAAAAATTGATAGACTCATACAAGAGTCAGGGACATCTAATTATCTAATAGCCACTTAGCTTGATTTCACAACGGCTGTTAACCACTGCACCTGGTCGGTTAACATTCTTTTCATGGCCCAAAGGGCGAAACAATAGCTACTACAATTTCGTGTAATCATCTAGCCTAACAAAGAGAAACGGAGGAAACAAGGTAACGAGTAGAGATATTTTATATGCTACACGTTTATACTTTATATCAGTCGTTTGCTGCGAGTTTCTTGTTTCTGTATATAAGAATTACATTTTGTTGTGAGGGTTAATTCTGTCCCTTTTAGCGGTCCCTCCAATCATTGTGTGTATACTTGCCTAGGTTCACATGACTGGTAGTAAATATTCTCTCTGACACAGTTGATGAAAGCAAAGGTATTTGGTCGACTAAAGTTCTAATTAATTGTGATGAGCTGTATTGTGTACTGATTCAGTGCACCTTCCTGAAATATCATACACTGTGTAAGGTGTAGGATACCTTCAACACTAAATATAGTTACTTACCACAAATTACGTTAACCGTGGCACACCCAGTACAATTAATTTTCAAACAGATCTTCTATAGTTCTATGCTGGAAAAGAGCCGCTTGCACCTGCCTCCTATCATTAGATCGCTTAATCTAGAAACGAGATATCCCTGGATTTCATACGCTCATTCGAAGTTTATTCACGTGGTTGATCGTTGATTTACATTGCGTACCCAGTGCATTGCTATAGATTACAGTGCATGCTAGCCTGTACTTTACGATTTTAGCTGATCACTGTATGAACGGGAGATTAAAACCCTCCCCCTCACAACTTGTTCTGACATTCTTAACATACCGAAATAAATACTTTCTGTTGATCTGCAGAATCCAGATCGGTAGTAGACTGTAAGGCTTGGGTGTACGCCGCACATGTCCCTCTTCTAACTTCATGTTCAGTGTTCACACTTAACGCTTTCTTCATCGAAATAGGACATCGAGTAGCTACAACAACAATTCCAGGAAACATGATACACGCATCACGGTAACACAGCTACGCTCACGGGAATGCAAGTTCGATAGAACTTCCACTGTTGACTCAACACATTTCCATCCTGTTTGCTATCTCGTGCGTTTTCAATTTGTGCCCAAACAATGAAGTCACGTGATCCACTACAATGACGTAACGTGATCCACTGCAATGACGTCACGGATTACACAGGATTACACAGGATTAAAATTAAATTATAGATCCATTATCATGGACCGTCATAATTGTTTACAGAAGTTAATGAAAACAATCATCTTTGCTTGAAGTCAGGGCCAGGGTTATCCTTGAGTCTTAATTATGACTAATTCGCGAGGTTCTCACCAAATTGATAGTAAAATTGTTTAAGTTTCGTGCATTTGAATTACGCTGACGCGTATCTTCGGTGAAGCTATTTCGCTCTTCGGAGCAGCGAAGGAAAAAAGTGCACACACAGTTGACAGCATAGGAGCGCCTTTCTTGAAATTGAGTATACTGTGGGGTGTTTGGTTGAATATCAAGTGAGCGGTGGCAGTGAATATGGAGGCTCTGGTGATTTTGAGGAATTACAGTTGAGTAAGGAGACAAAATTTCCATGAGATGATCTTTGAGATTTGTTTCATTGATATTGCTGGAGTCGGTGATTTCATTGCTTATTTCAATGATTGGCATTTGAGAAAGATTTTTGACTAATTTCGACCTCTGTTTTGAATACAAGTCACATATGTAAAGAACATGCGACTCATCTTCGATGGTCTCAACGCCCATACTTGATTGGCACCAACCACATAGTCTTTGTTCACGGGGTGTGTTGGAGTATCTGCCTCTTTCAATATGGAGATCATGTGCGCTGATTCTAAGTTTTGTGGTACTGTAACGACGAGAAAAGCCTTTGCATAAGTATAAGTAGGGCTCTCGGTTGAAGGTGTGTTTGATTGAGTGATAGAATGAGAGTTTAGAAGAAGTAGATTTTTGATATTGCCAACATTTTTTGAATTGATTGGTTAGAGCTTCGATGATTTTAGGAATTCTATACTTTTTGCTGCATAGTGGTTTGATGGATTGACTAAAATTTGACTGATTTGTGAGGGAGTCTTTTAATAATTTGTGATCACTTACAGGGTTGGGCGCGGCTTTGTTAGCTGCATTTGTATTGAGAATTCGGTGCGCAGTTACGTGATCTAGTTTGTAAATTTCATCTAGTTCAAGGAGTGGTTTTATGTATCGATACCAAGGTAAGTTTAGTGATTTTTGTTCTTTTACGGCTGCAGTGACAAACGAATTCGACTTTGATTTTGTATTTAGCCTTTTGAAGTAATTTAACGTTAAGCGAATTGATTGATAAATCAAAGGAATTCTTCCTGTTTCTCCCCAAACACCTACATTTGATGCTTTACGATGGACTCCCAATGCCCATTTTAGGAATGAAATATGCACTCTTTCTTGCAGAGAGGCGCTGATTTTTTTAAGTAAGTTAGTAGCGGTTGCTTCTGTCGAGTTAATCGTTTTGCAAAGAGATTTATTGATCGTACTAGTGGGTGTCCATATCGGAGCACCATATAATAGAATGGGCTTGATGAGAGAGTCGAACAGTGTAAGGAGTGCTTTAAAAGATAACTTTGAACGCATGACAACCCTTTTCAGGCCAAAAAATGCACGCATTGCTTTGGTTTTAAGGTTTTGTTGAGCGATCTGTACTTGACCCGATTGATGAAGTTCAAATCCAAGGTAACAATAACTGTCAACAATTTCAAGATTAGATCCGTTGAGTGTAAATTTGATGTTTTGTATGTCCTGTTTTAACGTTTTCTTACCAAAGATGACTGCTTGAGTTTTGAGTTCATTGATTTCAATGCCCCACTCCTTACAAAAATTACCGAGAATATTAAGTTGCTTTTGAGTGGTTTCCTGGTCGAGTGAAAGGAGTATAAGGTCATCCGCCCACAGTAGGTGGCTAACAGTCAAATTTGAAAGTACGGGGCAATTTGGAAAATCTAGGAGGCAGGACATATCACTGAGAAAAACTTTAAAAAGATCAGGTGAGAGTGGGTGACCTTGTTCTGTACCTTTACGTATCTGGAAGCGTTTACTGAGGTGACCAGATAATTTTATGTAAGCGTACGAGTTTGAGTACATATTTTTGAGGACATTGTAGAAGTTTCCAGTTATGCCATTTTTTGCGAGTTTGAGGAAAAGGGCTTGACGGCAGACTGAGTCGAATGCTTTTTTAAAATCAACAAATACTGCATATACAGGTTTCCCCAAAAGTTTATATTTTGAAGCTATAGTTTTCATGGTTAGTATGTGATCGTATGTTTGAGCTTTCTTTGTGAAGCCTAGTTGGTTAGGTGGATCAGGGCAGTTTTCAGAGCGGAAGCGAATGAGTCGTTCTAAGAGAATAGTTGAAAATAGTTTTCCTATGACACTGCTGACAGCAACTGCACGGTAGTTGTCAGGATCTGATTTATTACCCTTTTTATGAAGTGGAGATATAATGCTGACGTTCCAGGGATAAATTCCTTGTGAGAAGCAGGCGTTGAAGAGGTTCAACATAATCAATTTATGATTGGTGTCCAGAGATTTTATAATTTCGTTATTAATCATGTCGAGTGAGGAAGCTTTACCATTTTTTAGGGATTTTATACTAGAGTCAAGTTCTGTTTTGGTGATTAAGGAGTTGAGTGACTCAGGATGAGTTGCACCTTGATTTATCAAGTCAGCTTGATCAATCATAGAAACTTTTTTATTTTCATTTATTGTT